CTATTTCGTATGATTTTGAGACTATGGTGACAGATCTAATGCCAATTTTGCCACGACAGACGTTTGAAAGAAACATCCACAGCTGTCCCAAGAACGTGCACAATGAATGTACTGTCGTAACCATGACATGCAGAGAAATGTTACAGAATGTTGACGTGAAAATCAAAGATCACTCGATCTTTTCTTGACGTTTTACCGTATGTTACATGGGTAAGTAGTGGCGTCGGTGGCCTAACGGTTTGATTTGATTTGATTTATTAGAATTGCAAACAAGTACAATACTCGTGGACCACAGGCAGCGGGGGCTGGTGTTGTGGCCCACACACAAAACAATCACAAGCACACAAACAAGACACACATTTAAACCTAATATAAGTATATAAAAATAAGTATAAGGGTACTAAAAACAGCATAGATTAGAATACTAGTGTATCAGTCCATTTAGTACTAGATACAGTTCATGCGGTTTCTAGCCGCCAGAATGTTCTCCTGTCTGGGGCCACGTCTCCGGGTCAACTGGTGCTTCTGCTGTATGAGCAGGTGGGCCTGACACATGTTCTTAAATATACTAATGCTGCGGGCCTCTCTAACAGACTGAGGCAGCTGATTCCACAGTCGTGACGCATAAGGCAGAAAGCTGGCCTGGTACGTCTGTGTACGGCACCGAGGTAAGTGGAGGTGCGTAGCGTTCCGCAGCTGAACACGTGTCACCCTTTGGTCTCCTCGTGTGGTGGGAGTTAGTGGCTGGAGGTGAGGGGGACTAGTCCGTTCACCAGTTTGTACATCAGAACCATAGAATGGAACTGCCTTCTGGTGGACGGACTGTCCCATTCTAACTCCTGCATGACGACACTTGATGGTGTACGTCTCATGGCTCCGGTGATGAGGCAGCCGGCCTGGTAATGCACTCTCTCCAACATCTTGCTGGATGAGCAGGACAAGTCCCCGAGCAGTACGGCGGCGTACTCCAGTTTTGGTCTGACCATTGTGTTGTACGCCATTTCAAGTGCCTCCCGGGATAGCTTGCCCTGGAGTTTCCATAGGAAACCCAGGGTTCGCCTGGCCTTACTGGTTGTAATCTGGACATGTTCAGTCCAGCGTAAGGTTTGGTGAATGGTTGTTCCCAGGTGGGTGTAGAACGGCACTTGTTCAACTTCCTGCCCTGCGATGTATATGGGAGGAAGCTGCACCTTGCTTCTAGGGGACTTGATGCAAAGTACTTTGCATTTATCTGGGTGAAGTTGGAGACCCCAGTCGAGGAACCAGGTAGATACCAGCTCGAGGTCGATGTTAGTTGTTCTGGCCACTACCTGGGCGGTTGGTCCAGTCTTGGAGAGCGAGGTGTCGTCAGCAAAACAGTTTATATTGGAGGAGCAGGGGAGTTCTTTTATGTCGTTGATGAACACAAGGAACAATAGCGGGCCTAAGATGCTTCCTTGTGGCACGCCAGCCTGCGTGCTTCCCCAAGTAGATGCAACGCCATTGATCACAACACGTTGCTGTCGTCCGGCAAGATAGTCCGCAAACCAGTTGTTCAGGGGCCCCTTGACCCCATAGCGGGACAGTTTATAGATGAGGCCATCATGCCAGACGGTGTCGAATGCTCGACGGACATCCAGAAAGACAGCAGCTGAACAGGAGGTGTTTGGGTCATCTATGGACTTGGCCCATTCGTCTACGAGACGCAAAAGCTGCAGCACTGTTCCATCCCCTTTCTTGAACCCTGACTGATTGATGTTGAACAGATCGTTGTTCGCAAGGTAAGTATAGAGACGATTGTGGACCAGTCTCTCCAGGACCTTGGGAACAGCTGGTAGTAGTGCAATGGGCCTATAGTTGGAGGGGTCAGTGCGGTCCCCCTTCTTGTATACAGGAGAGACGTTACACTGCTTCCACTCTGCAGGCAGTTGGCCTGTTGAGAGTGAAAGATTGAACAGATCACATAAGGAGGTACAGATGACTGGTGCTGCCTCCTTAAGGAGTCGGTTAGATATCCCATCAGGACCAGGGGCCTTATTGGGATTGAGTGCCTGTAGGGCTTCTTGGACTTCCTCCACAGAAACTGTGATTGTATTGAGTTCCTCGTTGGTAAACATAGGAAGTCTCCTGGTACTGTCGGGGTGGATGGCTTCCCGGGTGACGTTGACGAACATGTCATTCAACAGTTCAGCCTTGTCCTTGTCTTTTGACACCACTGTGCCGTTCGCAGAGAGTGCTGGGATGCCGGTCTTACCCTTCCCAGTTGCTTGCTTGAGTACAGACCAAAAGAGGTGAGCACTTTCAGCGGATCTTAGTCTCTCGCTTACGGTGGAGTAATACTCGGCCTCGGCATGGCGAAGATCTTTGGTCAGGCGGTTCTTGGCCTTTGTGTAGGTTTTCCAGTTCTCGTTTGACGGTGATGTCTTGAACGTGTTGTACAGTTCAGTTTTGACCCGGATTGCATCCAATAACTCAGCAGTGATCCAGGGTTTACGTGCGGCTGTTACCTTTGTGTACTTATTAGGAACAGTGCTTTTAGCGACATTCAGGAATTTAGTCTTCCAACCGGTCCACCTCTCATCAATAGAGCCTTGCATACAAAAGTCCCAGTTAACTTTACTAAGTTCAGACCTAAATACATCAAAATCTGCACGATTGTATAGCCATATGTGTTTCTTGATAGTGCGCGTAGTAGGTATAGATAAGTTTAGTTTACAAGTTATAACTGCATGATCAGAGTTTCCGACAGGTGCTAGGGTAGACATGCTATTGATTCTAGATGGTTCAGACAATATGATGAGATCTAGGGTACTTTGGCGGGAAGGAGTGGATCGGGTTGGTTGGTGTTGACACTGATACAGGCCGTACCTCTCTATGATATCAACAAGGTTTAATGCATGATTATCTGTTGTTGTGTCTCCCCAGTCTATGTGATGACAGTTGAAGTCTCCAATAATGCAAATAGTGCCATTTTCTTTTGCAGCCTTTGAGGTAGAGATTTCAAACTGATCGTAGAAGCTGTCAGGGGCAGATGGTGGTTTATAGACACAGGACAGAAGGACTTTATTGCCCGCTACGTTGAGCTCTACCCATAGGTCTTCCCAGTGAGAATCACAGGTTTCTAGGTCGGCTCTCCGTTTACTGGTGAGGGTGTCACTGATAAGAATTGCAATACCTCCTCCAGTTTTACCTTGTCTGTCCTTTCTGTATATGGTACTATATCCTGGAATGTTAATATCATTGGGGAGGATATTTCCATGTAACCATGTTTCAGTGATACCCATAACAGAGATCTTATTTGTATGTAAAAGGGTCTCAAGTTCAGAGATTTTAAGATGACCGGAAGCTGTATTAGGGTTTAGGCTGCGAACGTTCGTGGTTCCTATTGTAAACATGACTGTAGCAAGTATACATACATAAACAATTGGGGTCACATAAGGTGACATACTGTTTAAGCCAGTTGTTTAGGTTGGTAATCTAATTAAATGGGCTGATTTCACTCAGGTGATGGGAATGTTGAGTGATTTACATATCAATTGGGCAGTCAATCTAAATTTACATATCAATGGCGCAAAACAATCTAATCTAGTTTTCTAACTTAAGGTACATTCATTCCGGTATACTTAAGTTAGGAATAGTACACGCTATACTTAACTTACATGTATATCCAAAATAAAAATCAACATCAATACTTGACACTGCACGAATCCATTTCCTTTGAAATGGACCGCGCTGCACACCCCTAGAGAAGTTGAGCTGTTTGGTTCAGTCCAAGATGGCTGCCCGCTGAAGTCAGGTGGGCGTCTGCTAGTCGCTTGTTCAAAGGTTAAAAATCGGTCCACCGGTACATGGTCTCTCGTAGAAGGTGAGAAAATGTTTTCCTGTGATTTGTTAACACTTTGCCGCATTTTGGAGTCAGCTGGCTTTATTTTGTAAGGTGTAAAGTGACATAACAGGTACGGACTAAACGTTATATATATAGAATACAACACGGGGTATTCCGTATCGCCTGAGGTATCGGCCCGACCGCGCGTCGGATCGCCCGACGGCCGCAGGCCGGAGGGCGATCCGACTCGCGGGAGGGCCGAGACCGAGGGCGATGCGGAATACACCGTGTTGTATTTTATTTATGTCATACCCACCCAAGAAAACACGCCTTTCAATGCAAGATGAGCCAAAAGTTGGTGCCACTGAACCCTAAAATGCAACAACATCAGTTCCAACGTCCGGATTCTGTATTCGAATTTTCGAAAGGGGCACAAGCGGGTAGGGCGAAACGCGTTCGAATCGTTTTATGGAAGCCAGGGAAGCGTTCGATAACGGGTTCCGGACCGGGCCGTACCGTAAAGTACGGCCCGGTCTGGAACCCGTTATCGAACGTTATCGCGGCCCGGGTATGATATAAGGAACGTTATATATAGGGCAACGTCCTTACGGTTGTTCGCCCATATTATATCATAATTCGAGCGCATATCCTGTCCTTCCTGTGTCAGACTCAAATATGTCGCTTATATGGTTTCATAGCTAAAGGGACAATGCATAGCGTTAATTCATTAAACGGTGATCGTGAAAATTGTACGACCGAATGGGGGAAATAATAATCAGGACATTCAGCTTAATTTTGCCATTACACCTGTACAGAAGTGGGGGGGGGGGGGCACTATGTATTATTGGGTTTCTTACATGACATAAACGTTATACATGTAACACAGTTACATACATGTAGTCAGTGCTACAACATTGACATTGAATACAGATGAGATGAGAGTTGGAGTGTGAAGATCTTTTATTTTAATTATCCTCCCTTTGTTACATAACTTTACACAAATTTTTGTCTGTTTATAGTCTTTTTATAGTGTCGGGGTGAAGGGTTAGGGTAGAGGAATATCAGTAACGTTATATAGGTTACCATACTATTGGCATGTTTCTCATGGTCTCCCATGTTATATGTAGCTACTGTACAGGCCTCAAGGATTCAACTTGCCAGGCATTATAGCCGTTTAATTCAACGAGATCTCATGACTTGTCTGCCAAACGATGTTTACTTAAACATACCGAAAGAGGGGAAGCAACAAAAGGTTGATTTTCATGGAAATGTCGTCCTGACGTCTTCTTTGGAGGCAAATTTGTCCAGTGCTACTGTTGGAGACGTGCCAAGGCAAACAAACCGCTGGACTCTTTAGTAGGTCACTACGGTAACAATGGTTGCTGGCTCAGACATGTTCTGTCTGAAAAGGAGTACAAACTAACCGTATCCTAGCAACACTGGCAGTCATGGCATCCTTACAGAAAGTTCAAATAGATAAGACCAAGGAGCTTCAAACAAGCTTGTCTGAAGCTCCTGCACTGAAGGAATCCTGCACTAGAGTCCACTGTACATTTTTACCAGAGCAGTCACAGAACAAGTATTTTAAGGTACAAGTATTCTTTTTAAAGACACAAATTCTTAGATGATAACTCAGTAACCTGTCATAGATATAGTGTATATGATAATTATGTTGTAATGTTTTGTATTCTTTCGCAAAAATGACCATTGTTTAAATCTGTATTATGACCACTGGTATTGGCTGGCATTTTTTTCCATTCCGGGCAAACTGTGTAAGTGGTATCAATGATATTGCTCAGCTGCATTAAGCTGCATCTTACCAAGGACGATTTTATAATACGGCTTTGCAGAATTGTGCACTTGGATTGTATTAGTAGATTGATGAATAGCAGAGACTGATACATTTTTCTACCCTTGTCTTCAAGGAGAGTGGACTAGCCCCCTCCTGAGAGGGTTATGCTGGAGACCATGGGCTGGGTGCTGAATGCAGTAGGTGTGGCCGTGGTGGGGATGGTTGCAGTCAACCTCAACTTCTGGCTACCCAAACACATCCCAGCACAGCTCGCACATATAGCAGGTTGGTAAATATATGGCTGACACCAAAATGCTAAGAAAAATGTTTCCAAATGAGATGTAACCTGAATTTCAAGTTATTTTGAAGCAGACAACATCAACGTCTGGCTACCAAAACACATCCCAGCTGAGCTTGTACATATAGCAGGTTGGTGGATGTTCCCTTCTTTCAAGTCTTTGCAAAGCAGTAAGCCAAGCCTCTGGCTAACCTAAACATGTCCCAGCACGGCTATTACATATGACACTTTAATAGCAGGTGGTTGGATGTTTGGTTGAGGCCAGAATGCTTGGAAGACTACACTGTATCTCTGACTGAAATTCCAACTGAATTTCAAGTCATTTCAAAGCAGTTGACCTGAACATGTGGCTATCCTAAACATATCAGAGCACAGCTCATACATGTACACATACTAGTACTTTGCTGAAAGCAAATAGCTGGGAAAAATCCTTCCATGTAACGTTACATGTATTCTGACAAGCCAGCATGCAAAAAGATTGCCAGGAAGAAATTGGCAGAATTTTGTAAGATGATATCAAGCTTAAGGAACGTCCTTGGTGATATTGACATATAACAGTTATGTCAACATAGGATATTGGGGTGAGTGGAACACTAGAACTGGTCCTTTGTTACCATTGTCAGAAGCAATTTCCTGAATAAACACAAGTATTATCACAGTAAACCTTATTATTGTTGCATTCTGAAGTGGGCTATGAATATTCAACCCTTATTCTTCATCATGAATTGTTGTTAAAAACAAGGTGGGGCTTCAGGAATTTGGTATTCCATGACTAGGCTAGTGGACACGGCATCTAAAGGTCATTGGTTTGATCCCTGGACGTTCCAACTTCTCCATAATTGCCAATAAAAATTAAAGTTTGTTTAACTCTTTTTTTCCCATGTTGCTACAGATGCTGCTCTAGAAGAGTTGGACGGCAATAAGAGAAAGTTGCAGGCAAAAGAACTGTGGAAAAACCATGGTGCCGTCATCATGGCTGTGCGCAGACCTGGATGACAGCTGTGCAGAGAGGTGAGTGAAACAAACAAACAAACAGATTTCAACAATCATAAAACTTCTCCCGTTACCTTCCTTAGTTTGTACCCCATCCTTTTACCTGCACTGGATGTTTAACCTTCATCAATGTACCTTCCCATATATCTAACTCTATCTAACAGTTTTTGTTCCTGTCTTCCCCAGGAGGCCCTTGGGCTGTCCTCTCTGAAGCCCCAGCTGGACCGGGCCGGCGTCCCTCTCTACGCTGTCGTGCATGAGAGCAGGGGGGTGCCGGAGTTCCAGCCCTACTTCCAGGGGAAGGTCTTCCTGGATCTGGAGGTAAGACAGTAAACCATCTGGTTACCCCAAAACCTCACAGAGAGAGCTTCAGAAGATCCATAGGCTGCCATGGACCCATTGTCTGGAACAGTCTACCACCAGTCTAACACATGGCCCCAATTCTGGCTTCCTATAAGATAACAAAACAGCAATCAGAAATGAAGAAAACGAACGGACACAACCCATATGGTACATGTGGTATTTATAAACCAAAATGGTACTGCCATATTTCCTATATATGGCATACATTCTTTAAACTCTTCAAGTCCAAAGCAGGAGCTCTGGCTGGTCACCAAAGTCAAGGTGAGTACATTAATGGGGTTTCTGCTCACAAGAAATCGGGGGTTGATCACAAACCAACACAGGAGCCAACAGCACACCTTCGCATGGAGTCACTCACTTGGAATAGTTTCTACTTATAAACCACCAAGTTCACCACATTTTCTATTTTCTCTTCCAGAGAAGATTCTATGGCCCCCATGAAAGGTGGATGTCCTCGACATCTATCGTGACTCAACACATGATGTTTATAAACCAAAATGGCTCTACACTATTCATAGATAATAAATCTTTTATTTTTCTCTTCCAGAGAAGATTCTACGGCCCCCATGAGCGGTGGATGTCCCTGGCCGGTCTGCTGAGGATCAACTTCTGGCTCAACATCCGCCGGGTCATGGAGAAGAAGGTGGAGGGAAACTACGAGGGGGAGGGGCGGTTGCTAGGCGGGGTTTTCGTCGTCGGGGCCGGTGACCAGGGCATCCTCCTGCAGCATGCGGAGCAGGAGTTTGGTCACCATGCCAACCTGACTGATGTCATCAGGGCCGTGGGGAAGATCAGGCATGTCAGACCCGCAGAGAAAAGCAAGATTTAGTGTAGGAGAGAAAAGATGCACAAGGAAATGTTGCTCATCAAATGTTAAACGATCCAGGTAATGAGATGCATAAGGAAATGTTACTCAAGCAACTGGATAAATAAACTGTCAGACGTTTCAAGTAGCATCCACTACTTTTCAGTGGCTTACGACAGTCACTGATGAAAAGTAGTGGATGCTATTTAAAATGTCTGACAGTTCTCAAAATTTATCCAGTTGCTTGAGTAACATCTCCTTGTGCCAACCTGACTGATGTCATCAGGGCTGTGGGGAAGATCAGGCACGTCAGACCTGCTGAGAAAAGCAAGATTTAGAGTAGCAGGAAAGATGATGATTATTGATGTTTGTTGTAGTCACACATGTTGCTATGTTTTGTGCCAATTTTTGTTTGTTAATTCACAATAGATGTCTATGCAGTATATATAATGATTATTAGACAAATTTTTGAGACTGTATTTACTACAATTTCTATTCACTTAGTAACTGTTGTGCCAATGATAGTATCATTCATAATTGAAGACTACTAGTATTTAGCAGCAAACAGCCATTTTTAAAGACCTATGTTGTTGATCAACCTGATTTATATTAGGGAACTTCTAATGCATTGCATAGAATTTTAAGGTTGCACTTCTCAGAGATATAGAGGAAAGAATGTTTCAGTACGTGTTACTGAGGAATGATATTGATATGACAGTCAACTGGAATGCTGCATGTCAACAACTCTGCACTGTCATGGTGTTTCATACTGACACACAGAATAGGATGATGGCAAAAGATGAAAACTTGCACATCTCTTGCTTGATAGTTTTTCTGTGAAGATGTGTGAAACGTGATGATATTGCAGGTTTGTTGAGATGTAGGTATTCCAGTAGAGGAGTGGAATAAAGCATTGGAGGATGGCATAAATGCAGTTTGTCTATTTTTGCTTTCTGCATAAGGCCTAAGACGTGAATTTCTTTGGGTGCCTTGTACATGTATGGGTGCCCGAATTGCGCAGCAAGGGATGTTTACATATTAACACTGATCTGCCTGAACTGGTAGACTTGCTTACCTCTGCACGAAGCAAGCCACTTGAAATAGAAAAGTGGCCATTTGTCACAATAATCTTCTTTGTTATATTGATTGACGACTGCTAATAATTAACTTATTTATTGGTCAAACTTCAAAGGCACAACTTTGAAATTGGTCACATACGGAAGTGGGATCCAAGCAGGAAGTTCATAGAACCCTGTGACGCAGCGCTAAATTCTAAAACCTTTTCTCAAAGTTGCTGGGCAATTTTTTTCTTACAAAAATGCATCGGGCGACACTTTTTGGGCTTTGCGCGTTGCTAACTATTTTTACTGAAGATTCGGAGGGACAATTTCAAGCCAGACACGGGTTTTGGGCGGACAGACGACGAAGGCAACAACCTGTGTATGTACGTCCCGTGGACTGTGTCTGGTCCCGATGGTGCTCCTGGACCGCCTGTTCCGCACCATGTGGCAACTCTGGACGGCAAACGCGGACAAGGTGGGGCATTTCTTGATGACTGAAGAACTATTTCCATATTACAAGTAGTAATAACAGCTACACTTACGGACTACTTATTATATAATAAATTTCCTTGCCGTGCCGTGCCAATGAAAGTGAACTGAGGTAAGGGATACGCATAAAACGGCAATTTACCACTTTGCCCTTGTAAGGAATTTTACCCCTGCTATGTTTTCCTCCGCCAAGTTTCTTCACCGACCGCGAAACAACGATGGGGTGATATGATCGAGTTTGTAAGAAACACAAACACTTTGTAGAGAATGTACTTAGACGACCGTACGTAATGCATGTATACAATATTAGCAAAGCCAATAGGCCTGTAACTATCACACTAATCGTCGCACATAGTCCCAAAAACTTCGCATGCTTAGCCTGACCCGCTTTTTGTTCTACCTCGTTCATAAACTCGTAAATCTTGATTTTTTTTTGCCCCTTGTACTCGTACCTTTGCGCTGAGTGGCACGGTGTTCGCAGTGCAAATGTAAACACGCCGTACAAAGAATCATGACTTTTCTAGGAACTTTGTGTTCCAGGAAAGGTCAAAATGAAGGTCAACAGTAGCCGTGACGACTCAGGAAGCCGCTTTTATGAATATCTATGCAGTAAATACATAGTTATCATAAAATCGGCTTCCAGGGTAGCGACGGCTAGGTCCACAGCACAGATTTGATTGTGTTGTGTCCCTACCTTACCCGACGAATTGTGATTGTGTTTCATGTATGGAATGCTTAGGTTCATGGCTCAGCTTGCAGCAAACGGTGGAAGGGACTGCTTCGGTAGTTACGAACAGAGCCGTTCGTGCAACCAGTTCTGTTATAACGGAGGCAGTCCCGCAGGTGGAGGCTGCCGCTGTGTTCCCGGGTACACCGGGACGTGCTGTGCTACTCGTGAGTACGGTATAGATAGTATACTATTTTGGCACGCTCTCTCCTAAGTTTATTTTAAACCCCTGGCAACTTATGGTCTTATTTTCAGACCCCTCGTCTGTGTGTATTTCTATATATGTGTGAGTGTCTGTGTGTATGTGTGCGTGTGTGTGCGCGCGCGCGTGCGTGCGTGCATGCGTGTGTGTGTGTGTGTGTGTGTGTGTGTGTGTGTGTGTGTGTGTGTGTGTGTGTGTGCGCGCGTGCGTGTGCGAGTATAGATTGGTACAGCGTAGGTGAATGTACCCCCAGGAATGTACTCAAGTACTTAAGATATCTCATACATGGACATACCGCCCGCCATATGACATATGATCAGCCACCATATGACTAGACTTGGGAAAATAGTTCCATCGGGTTGGTAGAACAAAGGATATAGGAATTTTCGTTTTCATAACCAGGAAAGACACCAAAACGTAAGCAAGTCATGATTGTGAAAAAGAAAATTCCTATATCCTATCATATGAATGGCTGTTGACACTTACTATTGTCGAGCTTATGCCCTCTAATATTTCCTAACCGTTTCAGCTTGGCGGAAGGAAGGGACCTGCTCCTCTGCGGGCGGTTCTTGCCGGAACAGGTGCCAGACGGACTGGGACTGCCCCGGCAGGCTGCTGTGCTGTCCGAAGCGCTGTTGGAATTCGAACTGGGCCGCTCACGTCTGTAAGGAGCCCGTACTACGGGTCACTCAGGCACCGCAACAACAACAACCGACAGGTTCGTAGATCTTGTTGTCCCTTTTATACATCTAATATCCAGGTAGCATCTATCAGGGTTAGGGAGGCAGCTGGAAAGAGTAGAAATTGTCCAAATAGACCAAGGACGTTCTACAAGTCCTAGAATAGACAGATAACATGCCAAGGAAGTTGGTCCGCTAGAGAGTACAGTTTATCGCACCCGAAGCCTTGTAGAGGCTAGCTATGATCTCACAAGACGTGGTCTCTTGGTGCTGGTTTGCACTTGGTTCAGTTGGGAGTCTCTGTAGGTACAGTGTTTTTGGTGCCTAGATGTTCGTTATACCATTGTCCCTTGCAGAGACTTTGACAAGTTAGAATTAAGAGCTCGATTTCAAATTTGACAGGAAGTGGTATTTGATTAGTGTTCTAGTGAACATCTGTTGCAATGCGTTGTACCAAGGAGTTAAAAATCCTTGGTTGTACCAGGTATGATTGTTGAGCAAAACTCTTTAAGTTCATGGATTTATTTTGTCTTCCACAGGGAATGGAGACACACTGGAAATCTTGAAGATAGTTCTTCCAGCGGTCATGGGGCCCGTATCAATCATCGCGGTCGCCATCATAATTGTCCGCTGCAGGCCAAATAATGCGGTCTCGGACTCCAGCACGACTCAGAATAATGCGGCAGGAGGCTCCAGCACGATTGCAGAGGACGCCGCAACTATCGTGGGCCTGGCCACCGGCATGAAGAACGGAGAGCCACCACCCTATACCGAACGAGCAAGCATGACCGCTGTGTCCGATTAATAAACTTGCATCATAGGAGACTCTCCTCTCTAGATCTGTGCCTCATGTGTGATATACTGATAAATGTTTTCAGACAATTCGACAAATTCCGAAGAACGTTAAAATCATTGGCGCCCGTTTAAAACCAACGATTCTTCCTTAAGCGTTTTTTTTTTATTCCTGAGCGTATCTGGAGCACACATCATTTATATACAATGTACAATTTGTGTGATGCCCTTGATCTGTAGTGAGCGACATAGTCTATAGAGGATAGACTGGGTGCATGGATGTTAGGAAGGTGTTCTCTTGTGTTTGCTTTTGTGTTATCACTGAATACATTAGATTTTGTACTTGTATTGTCTCTGTTCGTACCTATCTGTATACAACTGAGTAGACATTAAGCTCCTCACCAGGAAAAGCTTATCCAGTAACTCGAACATACTTTTATAACAGCGTGCTTTGGATCGTTCATAAATGGTTTGGTATTGACTTTGTAAGATATATTTACATGGTACTCTAATTAATAAGTAGATAGCTTTTAAAAACCTGAGTCAATGTTGAAACGTATGCATAGATCTAACAGAACACGTATTTGGATTTGCCCGGTCTTGCACCTGATAACACTGCGCAGTGAAGTTGATGTCTCTCAGTCCCATTGGCCGAAGTTACCTGTGACGCGAAACCGGTTCGCCAAGTCTGTGAGCAGACAGGCGTGAGTTATGTTGTTGGGTTAGGCAGGCTTCCGTTCCTGTTTACCTGCCTCGGCTAGCAGACGGTGATTAGCAACTTCCTCGCGCAGAATTTGGTAGTAAGAGTTTTCAATAGTTTAACAGGAAAATTCAACTAACTTCTGCTGAATTTCGGCATCAACAAAGAACGTACTCAACCCCTGGAAAGTTGCAGACGAGTGTCATTGCAGCAGACGACGCGTAGGTAAGTTCTTAAATTGATTCTACACTCGTAGTAGTTCACAAACAATCCAAGACTTGCTCCGTAGGTATGTTAAGGGACAAGTGTGAAGAATATTTGGATTAAGTCAAGTTGTCCTGGTATCATTTTTGACGTACGAAAAAGCAACTTATGTGAAATTTGTCTTGAGATGAACATGTACGATGTCTAAAGACAAAAATGTGTAAGATAAGACTCAAATCCCAGAGCCTGAATCCCACCCAGGTAGAACAACTTAATTCCAAGGCCATAAGGCCACGGACCTACATACCCACTGTGCAGAACGATCTTGTTTACTAATAGAAAAAACAACAACATACGTTTTATTTCATTTTAACAAAATGCTGACTTTGTAAGAAATTTGACCCGTACTTTGCTTCAAAGATTTAAATGATGAATCATACGAGGGTTTCCTGTAGAATACTAAATGTGTGTTGTTCTGACGCACGGCACGGTTCATCCGAGGTCAGCTACAGTAATTACGCTGCATTGCTGCAGGCAAAACTTTAGCTAAGACTCGTCTCGAAATTCACACACCTAGAACCATGCCACAGAAGCCCACTGTCGCATACTCAACTCTTTTGTTAGGGTATTATAGAGATCTCTTATCTGATCTACATGTGCCTCAACAACAACTTATCTTCGATGACAGAGTGGATACTGATTGCAGTATGACTGTTGTGAGCTTAACAATGTTATTGGCTGCCACTCAAGGGTTATATAAGCAGATTCTTAACCTCTGTACGTGATTATACTACTGATTATATTATGTCTTTATCATCACATTTTAGTAGATCTGAAGTCCTCATGTGGCGCCTGGTTTGTTTTGCTGGGCTGGCTTGCGGCCTGTTCTCTGTCCCTGTGTCCGGACGTCTCAAACAAGGTGATATTCGTTCCATGTTAAATGTTGACCGAAACTAGACGTAACTGTGTTATTTCGTTGGAAATATTCATATCAATACGTAGTTTGCAGCTATAGGGTCAAACGTAGTTGTAAGAACTTAGTTCTGGGGCCCAGTGTGATCTTAAAATGTGTTTGGATGTGTAGTACCTAACAATGAATACTACTGGTCGGCCACAGGATTCCCCGTTAACCTCCTATATCTCATTGGCGGAAACACATCCGCCAATCAGAGCTAGAAGGAGAATTTAGGCCCATTAACACATGTAGTATTTGGACTTCTATATCTTGTTAAAGACAGTCAAGCAGAGCTAGAAGCGCTCGGTATCTTCAATGTAAGTCTATCGTTTTAAAGTTGTACATAGAGGGTAACAACGTGGAGCCTCTAAGAATAAAGTGCAGTTTAGCATTATCTGACATGTTGTTAAGGTTAACAAGCAATTGGCCTTCGGGCATGATTTTGTAAATAAATAAATTATATGTACGATGGTATGATACTGCAAAAGATACGTGTCGCCTGTTGTGGTAACAAGAAACGTCCTTCCTCCATAGCGTGCCGACCAGTTCAGCTGACGGGAGAAACCGGGACGTTCACCAGCCCGAACTACCCGGACGACTACCCGAACGGCCAGAGATGTCGGTACGAGATCTCCGTGCAGCGCGACCAGAGGATCCGCCTGACTTTCTCCGACTTCAACGTCGAGAGGGGCCTGGACCACGTGGTGGTGTATGACGGTGACGAGAAGACTGGAGGAGGTAACGTTTAGTTTTTTTTTTTTTTTTATTCATTCACATAGAAAAAGGTACAGGACATGGTGGTGCCGCACTCAAGTGGAAAGCACTTATGTTGACGGCACCACTGAAATAAATACATATGATAAAGAAAAAACAAACAAACGCAACTTTAAGACAGGCAAAAACAGTAAATACAGGAAATTCAAGAGCGCAGGTCCGGTTCCCCACCCAATGATAAATGATGGCAAAGAGAGGACACAATACATAGATAACAAAGGGGGAAATTGAAATCTTTTAAAAAGTCGTTTAGGGGTTGTCTATCGGGAAAACCTTAGTGCTTGTAATGTCAAAGAATTACTAGATTACTATATTACCTTTATATCTGTAAGGTTATCCATGCAAAAATGGGCTGCATAAAAGATCAAGTACATGGAAGAAAGCTACACCACCCAATATTGAGGTGATTAAAAATTCGTGGACGTCGCTGCCATCAGATACATGCACAGTAGGGGCAGCTTTGAATAATGCCTATAGTTAGTGAAAAGGTTAGTTGTAGCAGGTTGTTTGGTACAATATAGCCAGCTGCCGCCGCGCCGCGTGCCTGCGAAGGTGGTGTGTTATGCTGAAAGGCGGTAATACCGGCTATACCGATGTAGATCGCAATACAGTTGGCATTAACATGTTCTTGGCTGATTTCCAGAAGGGCAACAGTACACAGGCCAGCTGAACGTCGACCCTATAGAATCTACAGGCAACACCATGACGGTAGTTTTCACATCAGACAGGGCAGGGACTGCCTCTGGGTTCAACGCCTCGTACGTAGCACTACTGGAGCCAGGTACTACGCAGAGTCAGTCTACTAAAACTCACACGAATTCTGAAAAAGGTACTGAGCTTTTATGTTGCTGTGCGAAGGATGTTAAGACAGACACACTGTTAAACCTTAAGCTTTGGATAATTAGAATTTTCTTTTTACACAACGTACCGGCAAAGTCTTTCTCTCGCTTACGTTTCAACGTCTATTAGACATCTTCTTCACAGCCTCTGAGAGACTTTACTGGTTGTGTGAGAAAGAAAAGCTCAATATCCTAAATCTTCTATACCTACCTGGTGAAATTATTTTCTGTGTTAAAACTTTGTTCTCCAATGAACAGAAACGGCCCTAATAAGAGAACTGGGCACATTTGAACGGCCTCTTTCGTTCACAAATGTCTTATTATATATTGCTTAAAATTTAAAAATCACTAATCATAAGTTTTCCGACATTGAATTCTGATGATCTATAAAATCTATAGAACATTTGCTCATGTGTTGCTCCCCAGTTGGATGCGGGCCATTGCTGTTGACAGGCGAAAGCGGGGCGCTGAACAGCCCGAACTACCCACAGGACTACCCGAACAACCTGACATGTCGGTACGGCATCGTGGTCGGTACGGGCAGGAGGATTCGACTGACCTTCTCCGTGTTTGACCTTGAGAGAGGTTCGGACTTCGTGGACATCTATGACGGAAACTCTACTGACAGGCAAGATCGAATAGGTAAGGACTATGGCTTCACTTCTACATCTTAGAAGGATGTTTTGGGGTCATGTGGCGTCGACCAAGAGGTTCCGAGTTCGAATCGTGTCATGCCACCGATCCTATGCCCTTGGGAAAGGCACTGTGCACGACTTTCCTCACTTAAGAGAACAAGAGTATTGTCTCGTCCTGTATTCGTCCTCTGCGTTGGTGACGGCATTAAATAAGTTGATGATATCACTTGAGTGTGCCGTCACCATGTCTAGTCATGAAATCGAACATAAAAAAATGGAATATGAAAAAAAGGATAATGATAATAATAATTAATATAACTTCGTCAAGAAGCAAGTTGCACCTTTTAGACATATGTTTCTCTTCTGGCTTGTGACACAGGGGTCCGGAACACTGGCGAGCTGAATCTCGGCACCGTAGACTCCGCAGGTAACGCCCTGACGGTGGTCTTCACGTCAGACAGTGCCGGGACATCTTCTGGGTTCAGTGCCACCTACACGGCAGTAGATACAGGTATGAGTTTTTAAATATTGGTTTTGTTTATTTGTTTCTGTTTGTTTGTTTGTTTGTTTGTTTGTTTGATTAGGATCTCCAGTGGTGTAAATTTCACACTATTCTTGCTTGAGTCGGTAGTGAATCACCAGATAGTAGTATTTTGGACCATCGCATACCGGGGGCATGCCCATACTCTTTGTCGAAAGGTGTGGTGAGTTCTTTCTTTAGCGTGCGCAGAGTGTGGGACCTCCTATCCCAGGGACGTCCCTAACCAAAGCTAGGTACTCATTTTCACCCGAGCGATACGAGGATAGCAGTGTAAAGTGCTTTTCCCAAGTCGCTGTACTTTTGTAGCCTCCTTCCGGAGCGGGAAACCTTCTCTCCAAGGCAAAAACTCCCTCGGCGGCAAAATCGTCCCTCCGCGGCATAACTCGCGTCGCGCACCGAAAAAATAATGTGAACAGGTCTGTGAAGGAGGCTAGTACTTTTGTTGTATCAATAAAGATTTATTCTTCCCACAGAGTTAGCGTGTCCCTCCCGGCGGCCCTTTCTGGGGGACAGCGGCCAGCTCAGCTCCCCGTTCTACCCGGCCCCGTACCGGAGAGACGAGAGGTGCCGATACCGCATCAGGGTCGACTTCAGCAAGTCTGTCCGACTGGAGTTCGTGGACTTCGACCTCGAAGAGGGCTTTGACTTTGTAGAAGTGTTCCAGGGAGACACCACAAACCCTAAATTTTCACTCGGTAAACGTTTTTTCATTGCAAAGTTGCGTGTTTTTTTTACAAAGCATAGGCATTAGAAATTCGACCAAATACTGAGCAAACAGAAATAGTAAAACAGCAAAAATACAGGTTCATCCATCATGTACTACTACAATCTACAGAAAATTGATCGGTTTCTAGAATTGCTGTACAGGTTGCCAAACGCTATGTCATATCTTGCTAAGCTAGTTATAATTTAAGTTAAACTTAAGTTATAATAATTATCATTATCTTGCTCGCCAGACCTTGGTACCTTGCACTGATCTCTCCGAGCCGTTTTCAGGTCGCTACACCGGCAGTAGCAATCCTGGCGTCGTCGCGTCAGCGAGTCACTTCATGAACATCTTTCTCACCTCCGATCGCTCGATAGCGGGCCGCGGATTCAACGCAACGTACACGTCAGTGGACAAAGGTGGGGTTCTATATTGCTTTATTCATCAAAAAATCAAAACATAACACTGCACAAAACATAACGCTGCACTCAAGTTTGTAACTTATATTAACAGCACCACACAACAAAATACAATTAACATTTGAATACACCAAGTTGACATATCAGTGCGCCATAGTCCCACCACCCCAAGATCTAGACATTAAAAAATGGTAAAGCTAACAAATTGCCAGAACCGTGCTTAATCCAGAACCATGCTCAGGCACGGTTCTGGATAGCCCACGCGTTTCCGACCCGAACCTAGCAAAGTTCTTTATTCGTAACCACAGAAGAGCTAGCTCCAGTGCACGATCGTAATTGCCCTGTTGAAGAAGACAGTCGACGGTAATCGTAACGTCGGCTCTTGTGATTGTGAATAACTTTGCTGTTCTTACACTTTTATGTTTGTACTTCATTCCTGTGACCATGCATTTTCTGTACTTCTGAAAACACGTTGAAAGTTTACCCAACTGACCGACTATGTTTTGTACAACATATAGTCTTCGCTACCTGCACCGTTGGCGAGTTCCTCTGTGCAGACGTGAACCCGATAGATTTCCCTTATGATTACATGTTTATACTTTCATTTCTGTGACCAATTCTATACTTCTGAAACACTTTGAAAGTTTACCCAACTGACCGGCAATGTTTTGTACAACTTATAGTCCTCGCTACCTGCACCGTTGGCGAGTTCCTCTGTGCAGACGTGAACCCGATAGATTTCTCTTATAATTACATGCTTATACATTTTTTTGTACTTTCATTTCTGTAACCAATTCTGTACTTCTGAGACACTTTGAAAGTTTACCCAACTTACCGCAAATGTTTTGTACAACGCACAGTCCTCGCTACTACATGTACCTGCACCGTTGGCGAGTTCCTCTGCAGACGTGAACCAGATAGATTTCCTTTATAATTACATGTTTATACTTTCATTTCTGTGACCACTTCTTTACCTCTGAGACACTTTGAAAGTTTACCCAACTGACCGGCAATGTTTTGTACAACGCACAGTCTTCGCTACCTGCACGATTGGCGAGTTCCGGTGTGCTGACGGAGTGACGTGTATCCGGTCCTGGCAGAGGTGTAACGGCGAGGAGGACTGCAGCGACAGGTCGGACGAGAGAGACTGCGGTTGGTGGAATTTTTTTTACCACTCATCAATATTGTACTGTAGCACCACATTCAGAACCGTTACATCGTATATCAGAGGATTCATTTCTCAAGCTAACGCGGGGCAGTTTGGCGTAATAGCAGAGTGCTGGGCTGAAAACTAAGGGGTCCTAGGTTCTAATCCTGCCATGCCACCAACCTTGTGCCCCTGGGAAATGCACTTGACACGACTTTCCTCACTTAACTCAGGTGAAAATTTGTATTGTCTTCTCTTGTCTTCTGTGTTGGTGGAGGTACTGCTCGCTGTTTCCTAGTGTATCTCATTACCTGCATGTCTAACCTTCATTGACGTCCATTGTGGTAGGTTCTGTCGACCTTATGAGCACTGGCAACAATGTATAGGTGGTAAATTATCACTCACTCGTCTTGTTTTTAATTCCAGAGTGTGAGGAGATTCCCCCCGACTTCCCGCTGTGTAAAGGGTTAGAGTACGACATGATGACGCTCCCGAACCCGCTGCTACACGACACGGTGGAGGAAGTCCTGAACGCCACAGCACCGGGAGGCGCCCTGCACGACCTGGCATCCTCCTCCTGCCATCCGCAGGTCGCCAGCCTGGTGTGCGCCGTACTCATGCCCAGCTGTAACGAAAGGTACGACATCCTGAACAGCTTACAACACAGTCAAAGGCAATGTGTAACAGGTCGTTCGTTGTAATCTAGCTGGCTGCTGCATGCCGAGTTGTAACGAAAGGTGCGGCATCCTGAACTGTTTACAACTAACACAGTTAACACAGTCATCCGTAAACAATTTAATCAGGATGGTGAATGATTGAATATCTGTATCTGTATAGCCGGTATAACTACCCCTCGGTGTATACTTATATGATATGAATCTTTATTGCATAATGTCAAAAGATAGATAGATTGCATATCCCTGTCCAGATGGACTAAATGCACATGTACCCATATGTGTTCTAGAGTATGTAAGGCATGGGTACAGAACAGTTCAACACTAACAATACTACATTCTAATGCTGAATATAACACACCAGTGTATCGACGTTCTTTACTCACAAACACCTGTTTACAAATACTAATACGTGTCTTTAGTACTTATATCCACAATCCAGAAAACAAGAGGCGTTTAGGACAACGAAACTCTGATCGTTTCAGCGCCTCAAGACAGCAGCTGCCCTGCCGGTCGTGGTGCGAGGAGGTCCGGGCGTCTTGTCTCGGGAACGGGTCTTGGCCGGAAGTTCTGTCTTGCGACATTTTCCCGCATTCGGACTGTTACAACATCGCGGAATTGACGACAGAGGATACAGGTGAGCCAACAACACTTGTTACATTGGATTCAGTAGCTATGAAAAAAGTTACACTCTAGCAACTGGGTATGATTTTGGAAACGGTCAGACGTTTCAGGTAGCATCCACTACCTTCCGTCAGTGACACTGGTGAGATCTCAAGAACAAGAGGTTTATAACCAGGAACTGTTAATTGATTCACATTTTTTAAACAAAAGTTAAAGTAAAAACAAGTAACTGTTTTTTGGCGTATTAAAGGCGCATCACGATATGCAGCAACTACCTCGTTCACGTTCACGTTCACAATAAGTCTTGAATCCGAACATTGCAGGCATCCAGTGCTTCCACGGGAGCGGGACAAACTACCGAGGGGAGGTGAGCAGAAGTCGGTCCGGGGCCGAGTGCCTCCGGTGGGACATAGACGAGAATAAGTACTACATCACCCAGTACCCCTGGGCGAACCTCGAGGCAAGATATTACCTTTTCTGCACCGTCATTAACAATGCCAACCCCACGTTCCATGCTGTAAAACATAGCCTGGTATCCAGTCTGATTCGTGGTCGGGGCCGCAAGAGCTCTGGCCCGCCCGCCTCACATAAGCGTCCCGGTGTGTATTTCACGAGAGATTAATTAGCCCTCCACGAACAAGTCTATCGTGTTGGGGGAAACCAAATCCCCGAGCATACTGTCTCTAATTAGCGTAACACTCCTACCGGGACGGTCTGTTGCACTGGGCGGGGGAAGGTCTTAGAGGCCCCGAAGACACAACCTGCCTAAACACCCCAATACCCCCAATCACGATCAGACTGGATACCAGGCTATGTAAAACACAGACTAGAAAAAAACTTAAGCTAGTGAGATTTCATTTTGTTTTGTCCATCTCATTTCTGTAAATCTGTAGTTGTGTAACCACTTTTTGCCGTGAATGTGTAGTTTAAGTTTTTAACTACTGATTGTTGTAAATTTGAACGTTAAGTTCCTGAAACGTACCTATAGTGCTATGATGTATTGTTTCTCATGTGATTGTGTGAATAAAGTTTCTTAAATAGCTTTCTTTAAAACAAAACCTGCAGGAGAACTACTGCCGTAATCCCGACCCGCTGCGCAGGTGGTTCATGCCATGGTGCTATACTAGAGACGGGCCGGAGCCGTGCGATGTCGTTCCATGTAATGGTGAGTCTGAAATGACGGCAGTCCAGAATTTTCCTATGAATATTCTAATAAGTAGAGTTGTTCTACACCTCCTCCAAAGAGGAATGGATTTGTGGCCATTTACTATGTTACTCCGATATGCGATTCTACTAGTAATAATGATCCCGATCGGAGTCTATATCGACAGAGACTCCGATCAGGATGCTGTTATGGTGTAATGGTAGTTTCACATTTACACATCCTAAGTAAATTTCAAGTCAGTCCATTTATCTCCAGTGACAAGAATCAAAGTTGAATAGTTCTGACTGTCTTTTAATATGTATAAAACTTCAACCGGCGTATGTGGAATTGCTGATTCTACCAGATCGGAGTCTCTATTCTGACATAGACTAGAACGCCTCAACATAGAACCCCTGCAATGTATCACCCTTGCAGATAGAGGCTGTCTTGATCCAGGAAAACCTGAGTTCGGTCAGAGGAGGCCGCTGCTGAACTTCTACCCGCTTGGCGAGTGGATCACCTTCATCTGTGACAAAGGCTACATCGTCCAGGACGACAGTCTCCTGAACAGGGCACAGTGTGTCAGCAACGGTACAGGATTGATCGGACGGTGGTCTCCCTCAGGGGTACCCAATTGTGCAGGTAGGTTTTGTTCTTTGACAAGACGTTTGCATATCTATCCTTCATTCAGTTGAAGGCTTTTTTGCCTGGGGTTTTTGGCTTATTATGCGTTGCTTTCTGATTGTGTATCAGTTCTTTCGTACTTAACAGGGTTTTCTACAGCTACAAACTGGGTCGAGTCTGAAATCAGTTAGAAATCACCATCTATCCCTTAGTGTAATCATTCGACCACAGAAATCGGAAAAGAACAGATATGAACCACAAAAACCCAAACAAGGAGCCGTCTATAGCAGGCTCTCTATGGAGGCTATGTCCATCTATTTTTTTTTTCATTATCAAAAATCTACAAGGTTATGGATAGAATGGAACTTACGGTGTTGAAATGCTCGTTTCTTTTTTCCGCAGTGGACCACCATGCACGATTAGTGAACGATCTGCTGAGTCCTGACGTGTACAACAAAGCCTTACCTCCGAGCCGGTTCAGTCGTCTGGACTTCCAGGCATACATCGTCAACGTCGTCAACTTGGTAAGCGATTCGGAACCTCAGGTTAAATTTGCCTCTTCCAGGCTCAGTCACAGATGACTGGATAGAGTAGAAATTGGCCAAAATAGACAGATGACATGCCAGGGAAGTTAGTCCATGAAACTAACCCAATCTTCTTTATATCTTTGTTTTTCTTTCAGGATGAAAAGGAGGAAATCATAATCTCGGACGTCAAAACAGAATACGTATGTTCAATATGGTTCTCTTTTCTCAATCACGATTTGAAATTATCAATTTATACATTTTCCTGTCTTTTCATCTTGATACATGGGATGCACAATGCTTTCCAGAATTCCTGGATAGTTGTGCCCTTTCAATGCATTTATGACAATAATCCTCCTACCATCTTTCAGACGTGGAAAGACAGACGCTTAATCTGGCACACAGGAGACTATGGTGGCATCACGGACATTTCTATCGCCGCCAGCCTTCTTTGGATGCCCAGCCTCATACTGAAAACAAAGTACGTACTTCTTGTTTACTACGACTACTTTCTAACATCTCTAAGTAGTATCATTGATACTCAAAATGGTCACCGTTAGTCAATGTTGGCAATGGTAGGGGCGAGTAGCTGCAACCCCAACCCCCACTAGGCCAAAAGGCCCGGACCGGTAATATACAGATTACTTGGTGGCGCATGAACCCCACTGTTACAACAGTGGTTACATTTTTCTCTCCACCAACAGTGCGGACACACAGTACGGGGGGTTTCCCGAAGTGGAGCTGAGAGTGGACAACACCGGCGCGGTCCACTGGACAGTCGAGACGCTGACCACCACGACATGTGAGCTGGACCCGTACCTGTTCCCTCAGGACAACATGACCTGCGCCATCTGCTGGACGGCAGGAGAAAACTACCAGATGGGTACGTGTCAAAGAGGAAGGTCGAAAAGTAGCAAACAGATTAGTACCTAAGTTTACTCAGTGTAGGTACATCTTCGGCCTTTGTTCTCAGTAGACGGTCTATTATATTAAGCACTAGAGTATACTAGAAGTTTATATATACACGTTGTGTATGATTGTCAACGACCTGTATTTAGCTCAGTGGCGCAAAAGTGTACAATGAAGGTTTTCTTTTTCTTCTATAAACATCATAGCCTCTACTAGGTTTCTGGAACTTGTGGAAATTGGCCAAATAGACAGATGATAATTAAGTCAGGGGAGTTGATTCACGCTATGAGAACAGTTTGCCGCTACTCTTTCCAGCTGCTTCACGAAGCCTGGTAGAGGCTATCAACAAATTCAGTCTCATCAGCAGATACTAGTACAAGAGAACTTATTGAATATATACCTTGTTTGTACTTGCAGGCTGTTCTCAGCCAATGAAGACCGACGACCCAAACTTCCTGACGTGCACCAACACCACCGAACCCATCAAGTACGGAGAGTGGGGCGGCCACGTCACCCTGTCTGCTGACAACAGGGACGCCTGCCTCGTCATCGAGCTTCAGCGGGACCCCCGGTACCACCTGGCCACAACCATCTCCCCCTGCATCATCCTGGTAATACTGATGATTATAACGTTCCTACTGCCCATCGAGAAAGGGGACCGCATCTCGTTCAGCGTCACCGTCATGCTGTCCATGGTCGTGTCGCTGGTCGTCGTCACCGGGTTCCTGCCTGTCAACGGGACACTGCCCTTCATCGGTGAGCTGACATTCTGTCCTTTTCTTCTTCATCTATGTGCCAAGTGGTGGTGGTGGAGGGATTCATCTTGGTACAGGTGGCATGTGGCTGGCTGGTAGCTTTGGCTTTGGCTAAGTGAGCAAGGGCGCGACACCCCAACGGCCAGAATATTGCTAAATCAAGGCTTTAATGCTGGATGTTGGGAGATGGTCTGCATGGGTTGACATAAATTGCCTCCATTAGAGCTAAATGTACTCCCATGTTGCTGTATGGCCCTCGGGCAGGTATTTGCAATAAACTTCCCCATGTTTCTATTGCTCTTGTCTTGGAAGACGGTGCTCTTATGAGCAAAAGCATGTAAGAAAAACTGCGTCATTTCCTCCGCGGCACTTCCTCTGCTGCTCATATAAATATCGCATATCAACGCTCCCTCCTCCAAAAAATAAACGTCTGTGAAGGAGTCTATACCCGTACATGTTCACTCCAAAAACAGCTATCCTGATCATTGTGTCCATGGGAATGATGGGGATCTTCACGCTGACAACCCTCCTGGTTCTGAGCATCCATAACAAGAAGGGCACCCTGCCTGCCTGGGCACGGACACTGTTCCTGCGCTACCTCGCAATGTATGTATTAAAACTACTGGTATTTACACATTCATCCGTGTGGAAGGGTTACTTTTGTACAATGTACTTGTTGCGCCATGTATGAATTAATTGATTGTTTACATGTATCTATTTACATCATTTTCCCAGACATCATACCTTAGCAGCCAGATATGTACATAAATTAAACATTTTGAACTTTACAGTGTGTTCGTCTAAATGCATAGCACTCAAAGCTATCAACAAAACTGTTTATATTGAAACACGATCAGACATGCATGGTTTTTGTTTTAGCTGCTAAATACCTTAAGATTTGTTCCACGTTAAATGGTAGAGTCAGAGTCATTTGTGATGCAATTGTGACATACTTGTCTCCTTCTCAACTATATATATTAAATTTCACCAGTGCTGTGTTCAAGGGAGACCTTACGAAGAATCTAAACGACGACAACGATGATGCATTTGGCAGTGTTGCCAGTGACGGCGTCTACAAAAAGAAGAAGGGCAGGTTTGGTTCCTATGTAAACGAAGCCTTTGAACAGCATTCTCCAAAGTCCCCATCCATGAAGATGAAACCGAATTTTGAAGCTGGGGCTGCCATGTCCCACCTGGAGGCCAGTATCAACAGGCTCGCTGTCAGCATTGATGCTTTAGCACAGGCGACAAGTGGTTGTAAGGATGATGATGATGAAATGACAGATTATGCTTTGTTGGCTCATGTTCTGGATAGGCTGTTCCTCCTGTTGTATGTTGTGGGGATCATCATCGCGGTCCCTTGTACCCTGTACTTTGGTCGCATATAGGCCATTTTCATGTGATGCCATAACTTTGATTTGATTCATTGAAATTGTGACAGTACAACACATGTGGGACACAGGCAGCTGTTGCTGGTGTTGTGTTACACACATAGAAACAAATACAGGACAGACAATACTCATTTTCACTTGAGTGAAGTGAGGAAAGTCGTATTAAGTGCCTTTCCCAAGGGCACAAGATTGGTGTCATGTAGGGACCTCTTGGTTCTCAGTCAAGCACTCTGCCATTACGCCACACGACCCCACAGCTATTAAAAAAGTGGGTGGCGTAGATAAACCTGAGATTGTAACTGGCCACGCTGAACACATAGGCCATGATTTTAGGAAAGGAATCATTCTAAATCTGATGCTCTGTAAATAGCAATTTTGTTAAAGTACTTTCAAAAATTGCTTTAAAAAAGAATGACATTAGTTAAACAGATAACATAGTGTGCACGTATCTCTCATAAAAGTATGCTTTACATAAGACAATACATGTATGTAGGTTAACTTTTCAAGTACATGTATATGAAAATGATGTTACTTAACACGATTAATCAGTGTCTTATAGATAACAAGGCTATTTAGAATATCCATATATGCCTAAATATGAGGAAGGGTCAACTTCTTTTTACATTATACATTATTTCAAAAGTGAGACATTACGATTATGTAACTCATATACTGTTAGCGATAATATTTTGTAGTTCAAAATATACGATAGAAATATAGACTTGTAGTACTGTACTGTTGTTACCATACATAGCACCATGTATGATTGTCAAGCAATTAAGTTCATTGTCTAGCAATAAAGTTCATTCATCAATGTAACTTTCAAATGTTGTCAGCTAAGTTAAGACATGAGGTCTGGAAGTGTGTCTGAGGACTTTGGGGACATCTTAAAAATACTACTTAGGGTTACCTATGGTCATTGAATTTTTTTGTGTAAGTACCTTAGTGCAAGATAATAATTTATGCAAATTTTAATGACATAATCCTGATGTCATCTTGAGTTATGAGCCACGCCTCCTTTTTAGAAAATTAATTTCCCTGGCCAACGCTTTGGGTAAAGAAGAATGAACATGAAAGAGCATTATCTGGACCAGCAGTGGAACTGTTTGTCGAGTAGCCGCCCCCACACACTGCTGTAGGGGTGAGCCAAGGTCGTTTTCTTGCCTTCACTGTCCTCCATTGCCCTTCCCTCATTGGCCCATTTGAACAGGCTGCCTTCCAGGTTGTAGATGCTGATTGGTCGATTCACTGAACTGCCTGATGGGAGTTTATTCAGTTCCTCCTCAAGCCTGGAAAACAGGTATGAAATTATTTATGGAATATTATTAACAGTTGATTATTTGGGGGTTCAAAGATGCTTTGGAAATATGCTTCACTGGAGAAACATCATAACTGTAACCCAACACTACATGTGTAGGGTGTCAGCTACAGCACTTGTTACTACAGTGACAGACATTTGGTCCAGATCATTGACCTTATATGTTTGGTCCAGTTCATTGACATGTTTGGAGATCTGGAAGAAGAAGAAACTGAGCAAAAACAATACGTCAGTCTTCTTCTGTGAAGTACATGTAGCCTGGATGATAGACCCAATATATTAGCACACTAGGCCCAAAGTTATATCCAGTGTGTGTAGACTGGATAACTTTGTGCCTTGTGTGCTATAGATCTAACATCAGGCTATCTGTGAAGGTAAACATAAAAAAAACATGTCACCTCTTTGCTACCACTGATGACCGGTATCCCACGGAGCAGTAGGCTACGACAGACAAGGGCCGAGACGTGTCGTTCTCGTGGCGTATCCTGTCCAGCGCTGGCGTTAGATCACCATCATGGTCGACCCTGACCGCATCTGGGATGTGGCTGATGGAATACTCCTCTACTGGCCGAGAGTCCAGGAGCAGGACCTGGTAAGAAATTTGATTATGATGAGATTATGAGATTATGATCACAATAAAAGGAGAAGCAAACATACATGTAACGTTACACGTAACTTTGTCAAAAGAATACTGTTCAACAAGTATTCTTTATGTCTTTTTTTTTTTATGTCTATTGTGTATGTTTACTGTAACAAATTACTGCACAGATGTTACATTATGTAGTGTACATATTTATGTAACTTTACATATTACATATCACTGCACATTACGTATAAGATGTAGGTGAAAATATGAAGAGGCCAAGAACATTTGTTGTGTTGCCCCACCCACAATTGTGGTAAATCACACTCTTTGTCTAACTTGGCAAACTTTAGGTACTGTTCACTTGACACGCCCCCCTCCCCCTTTTCGTGGCCGCTATTTCTGACCTCGCTGCTCTCCTGTGAGGCTTGCTGTGCCTTCAGCAGACGGTCCAGCTCGTCTGTGGCCATCTGCCGAACGGAGGGAAACTTCGTCCTCATGCTCTTACACACCAGCCACATGGACCAGCTAGGACCCGAGCCTTCCGCTGTCTCTTCAGTCTCAGCAGCCGACGCCATCACGAAAACAAACACAACAGAAGTCACTTCCGGGTTGCAAAGAGTGATCAAAAGCGGCCCCTAGTCGTTCAATGAGGCACTGCATCACTATGTTGTGTTGGCAAGGTCCCACCATTTCGGACTGGTTGATGCCAAACTTACACACAAGCAGCGCCTGCAATTACAAGTTTAATAACCAGCCGCAATTCATTGCCGTACGTACATCACATGTTTCTGTGCAAACATGCCTGTCCTTGGTGCTGAACGTCGTCCACGCGAGCTCGCGCACTCATAGTATTACTATCACGATGTTAAAAATCTGTAGTTTTAGAAGGCCTTACAAAAGACCTTGTATTTTTGTTGTGCCTATGAAGTACGTTATACTTATAGACGCCTAACCAATCCCCTTTCAACACTCCCGACTGAGCAAGGATTTGTCCCGGGATTTCCCGATCATTGTTGTGCCTGGGTGAAGGCCAACGCGGCCGATCGGAAAGCTCTTCTCTGTAGTAAACACTACGCAAATATACAATTTCCAATATCGGTGCCCTCTGAACTTGAATGACTTTTCATTCACGTTACAAGGTACGGCATATCCATTCGGAAAGCTCTTCTTTGTAGTAAACACTACACAAATATGTAATTTTCCAATATCGGTGCCCGTTGAACTTGAATGACCTTTCATTCACGTTACAAGGTAAGGAACATCCATTTATTCATGTCATAAAGAAGAATACAGCAACACTGCAGCGTGCAGAATTCAAACTTTTATTAATGGTCGTAGTGAGCAGCGAGGTCAGATTTCAACATCACTCTGAATAAAGCTTGAAGTTTAAGTTCTTATATCATAATTTGTAATCATTAGAATCATCTTATCAAGAGGCTTTCTTGGAGACTTTACACATACATGGTACAAAATACATACATCAGTGAGACCTGAATACACTTTGTCAATAGCAGGTTTGTTAATTGTCAGGATAAGTGATACATCTTTAAAGACTTCAAAGCTATTCTTATGGGGTCTACATGGAAGTAGACTCGAGGAAAACAATATCAATTCACTGTCCTATACTTAAAATGACAAATAAAATAATCCCAGTTTTGGGGCCTTTCCATCCAAAAACTAATATTTGTACAAATAAAATAATCTCAGTTTTGCGGCCTTTCCAACCAAAAGCCAATATTTGTTAAGTTTTCTACAAGTCCGGGAGAATACGGGGGTGGCTTTTTCATGTATTTCTCTTGGAAATGCTTTTCCAGACCAGGATTGTAGTCTCTCCTGCCGGTCGCCTGTAGCTGTGGAGGGATAGGGTTGTCCATGGCTGTTGACGGTCCCTGTCGGATCCCTATGGACGGTGTGACGGCGGCAGCAGCCTTCTTGGCTCCCCTCCAGAGGGTGACGAACACCGCTAACGTCACCAGCAGGATGACGACGAGCGGCAGCAGGGTGGACAGGATGATGATCTCACGTGACGTCAGAGAGGTGTCACCGTCACCGTCTGACGTCATCGCTGGGAGAGGAAGAAAGGTGTAAGATGGTGGGGTAAGGGAGAAACGTATAAAGATGGTAAGATTGAATTGTCCAAAATGCGTTTTTGCGTCTAGTGTTGCGTCACTGTTGCGTCTAGTGTATTTTTAGTTTCCTAGTCTCATAAACGAATTGAAAGTAGTAGAAGTTTTTATTATCATTTCATCATTTAAACAGAACAATACATAGTGGTGACGTGGTCAAGCGAAATAAGACTATATTAACGTCACCAACGGTTTAATTTACTCAATAGAGTATAGCGCTTGAGCTACATATGTGTAGCTAGATTATGTGTACATGTATGTATACGTGTACATACAAGTCATTCCTTTATTGTGAACTGTACTTAAACTTAGTGGGTATGTACATGTACAATAGAGGCCTTCGAATTCATTAATTCATATGAAACGCTACTTACTGGGACAGTCCGCTATGGCACAGTTGGCGGTTTCGTGACTGTTCCCGATACAGTCGTCCCCTCCATGTGCAGGCGCCGGGTCTGTGCATTCTCTCGTCCTGAACAGCTGCCCTCCTCCGCACGTCACGGGGCAGCTGGTCCAGTTAGCCCAGGACGACCAGCCTCCGTGTTCTACAGCACAGGGAAAGGACGGCAGGTTTTACACTTACAGAACGTGGTGGTTGGAAGCTCGAGCTCTTTCGGTGGTTGCAAAGACAGTATCGAATTGGCCAGGCAGTATCCATTTGCCAGACAGTCACTATTTGGCGTATACCATAGACCCTACTACATTTGTCATATTATATACAGTTGTGCATGCCCTCAACTTAATCTTGTGATCTTGTGACCCCAAATGGAACACGAATTACCCAGAACTATGTTCGATCGAATACGATCGAATACGATCGAACATACTTCGGGTTCTAAAAAAGATGGGAACGTTGGAACCCAAATCTGACCACCTTGGAAAGAGAATACAATAATCTGGAAGACACGAAGAAAGAAAGAAAGAAAGAAAGAAAGAAAGAGAGAGAGAGAGAAAGAAAGAAAGAAAGAAAGAGAGAGAGAAAGAAAGAAAGAAAGAAAGAAAGAGAAAGAAAGAAAGAAAGAAAGAGAGAAAGAGAAAAAGAGAGAAAGAAAGAGAAAGAAAGAAAAAAGAAAGAAAGAAAGAAAGAAAGAAAGAAAGAAAGAAAGAAAGAAAGAAAGAAAAAAAGAAAGAAAGTGGAATAAAACAAATATGGTACTTACGAGGACACGGTGGTGGTGCCGGGGAGCAGTCGGACCGTTGTTCGCTGTCTCCACCGCACGACTCGGTCGCGTTGTCGGCAGGGTTGCCGGTGGTGGTGCAGGTACACGTGCGGGTCCGGGTCCTCACGCCGGCTCCACATGTCGCACTGCAGTCTGTGTAGTCCGACCACGCCGACCATTGGAAGTCAACTATGGATGGAGATAGGTGGATAAAACGTCATTTAATCTGTGAGCTGCTTGAGCGTCAATGCAGATTAGGCTTCGATAGGGTTTATTGTATCCAGAACCGTGCTTAATTTAGAACTTTGCTCAGGCACGATTCAACTTAGTCCAGGCGTACCCAGAACAGTACCTGGGGATGATCTACATTCTTGGATAAAGGCAGACTATCCAGAGCCGTGCCTGATCATTACCCTGCCTTACCCCTTTCAGGCATAAACTAGATAGGTACGGTACTCCTTTAGCAGATCAACTCCCTTGAATGTTATCTGTCTATTTGACCAATTTCTACTTTTTCCAGCCGCATCTCAAGCCTGATAGAGGCTATAGCACGTACCGTTACAAACGTCCCCCAAGCACTCCAGCACGTCGTAGTCGCTGCCTGGACAGTCGTTCCCCCCGCCTGCCGGGGCCGGGTTGGTGCAGGTCCGGGTACGGACCCTCTTCCCGGTCCCTGTCGCTGCAGAACACGTGGTGTACTCCGTCCAGCCCGACCATCCACCGTGCTCTGTTGGCGAGATGTTTTGTGTTACACATGTACAACGTAGTCTATACTTATATGTTATTGTCTTCGTCAGAAGGACTATGAAATTGTCTCGCCGCATTGTGGGTGACTGCGGATTTAGCGGAATAACCCTTGAAGGCATTATTCGACGTCCATGATTTTTGGCAGGCAGATTACCGTTGTTGAGGCCAATGCCAAGTGCAAGTTTGGGCTTCGTGGGGGGTCCGTACGTCACTGCAGTGGACTTTTTTTGTGTTTGTGGCTTGTGAGCAAAATAACTCGAGTAAATTTAAACAGATGTTCATGATTTTTGGTAGGCAAACTACCATTGTAGAGGCCAAGGTCAAGTTCGAAAACGGTCCCTATGTTGCTCTAGTGGACCTTTTGTGTTAGATATATAATGAACTACCCCCACCAACCTCTGCATTGATTCACGTGGGGGACAGCTGTCCCCGCATCTGGTATCAATTGCTTACAATTGAGGGGCTGTCCTATAAATACTGGGGCGGGGAAGGAAAAAGGTGGACATGCGTCAGGCAGGTCATTCCTTAAATTGTAAGGCCAGACCAAGTAATTTTTATGGATGACGTCCACTGGAGACCTTAAATTTATTGCAAAAGCGCGATAAAATACATGAAGGCCAAAAAAAACTCATGATTAACATGCACAGATTTGGAACATACTAACTGTGGAAATACAAAGGTTAGGATGTAAATTGAATAAAAGAACATAGAGTAACAACAAACGAAAACAGCAATAAATCTCCCCCTGTTCTGATTCTTTCCTTTCATCACATCATTACATTTTGCGACACTGTCGTAGAAGAAAAAAAAAGAAAAAAACGAGTACAGAGATTCTTTTGTACTCTAGACCAAATTGATTTCTACTATCAAGAACGTTCCTTTGTCTAGAACAATGTCCCTCTGACGAAGGCATGAGATCTCGGACCTCTAGTTTATGCCTAAAAATGTGGTGTAATACATGGCACCTACGTGGGCAGCAGAAGCGGACTTCATAATCAAGACACGCGCCGTCGTCCTGGTCTTCAATCCTGCAGATGAAGCCGGTTGTGGTGTCGTAACGCTGCCAATTTTCTCCCGTCAGAGTGGCCTCCACGTGTGTGCTGATGACCCGGGCGTGGACGGCTGTGGGGGCGGAGCAGATCTGTCCCACGTTCTCCCGGCGGAGGTAGGTCAGCATTTCCCAGTCTCCTGTTACTGTGGGGTCGTCACGGTCAAACCATCCTGTCCAGAAACCTTCGAGGCAATCTGGAAACAAAAAAACACACGAGTCTGCATTGATTGTAACCAATGCCTTTCTTTTTATATCAAATCAAAATTAAATTTATTGCTCTATAACTATAACTTGTACAATGTATGACAGAGAATAATCATCAAGGGAAGATACGCAAAATGTACTACAATACAATTCTAACAAAGTCAATTAACTGTTAAATTTCAATTTAGCAAAGCTAAACTATTGCATGTTTTTCTGTATGCACACAAAAGCATCCAGAGTACAGATGGTGAATAGAAGTGTTGCTAAAGTCGATAGTTTGTAAAGATTTCAGTTTTATTTGTTACAACAGTGGTGTTTCGCATAAGGTTACACAGCAGAACATTTGTTATTTGTATAGATTTACCATCTATGTGCGTACAGATTGTATAACACTCAAAATACAATACAATACAATACAATACAATGACAGTAATACATAACGTTACATACAGATAGTGTTGAAATGATTACAATACATACATACATCAAAGCACAGTCAAGGCAGCCATGTTGTAGACTACCAAATCCCGTTAGAGATGGTATTCTAGATCCTGCCCGATGGAAAATCATTCGTAGCCGCCAAACTAAGGTCCATTTGTCCCATTTACAGGACTCTCTTAAGTCTTATGTAGGCACATAAATGTGGCAGCCTAGCAATGCAGTACCCCCACCCCGGCAAAAGGATCAGACAAAAACAAGTATTACTCAGTTGACTTTGCACATCTATACTTTGTACATCCCCTGACTTGACATACTTACAACAGCTCGGACGGTTGACTGACCGCCGGACTGTCAGGTTGACTGACCGGAATACACGACAGACCTGGAAATATAAAAGACAAACCATGTCAATAACATATGCTTCGTCCCACATGAGAAAAGATATATAGGAGAGACGGGAACATTACTTGAGAAAAATACTGGATACAAAACCTAGCTCGGTGTGTCTCAATCTACACACACAACAGACACAGTTTGCGGAAGTTGTTTTTGGTTCCTTTTTGGCGATACCTTTTCCAGGTTTGGCCAATTCAATGGTACCTACCCACTGTGTCATCAAGTTACCTCCTAGATAGTGCCAATTTACTTCTCTCTGTGTCTATTTCCAAGCCACTTGAATTCTACACTTTTTATAACTCATATTCATCTGAGCTTGACTGTTGTAAGTCAAAAGACAAACAAGGCCTTGACCTGCTAGGGACTCCCACCTAAAGGTGTTTGAGATTGCTCATACACCTTTCGTTAACAGCACTGATTACGGGATATTCCACTTTTGTAGACTGGACAACCAAAACGCTTAAAAAACGAAAAAGGCCAAAGTCTCTCGTGTTTAGGCCACGCTACATATACTGCCTTTGCTTGTTGTTCTTTCAAGACCCTTTCTGTACTCACCATACTGCAGCGAACAGCATAGCAGAACACCAAAACAAGTGAAGACTTGTAGCGGAGACATCGTCGGTGATCGGGTACGTTAGATCATGTTGTAAGGAGGCTTCTACGAGTTACGCCAAGGGAGCGAACTTCCCAAAATGTAGGCGATGTTCCTTGTTGTTGTGTTTTTTAGCGAGACAAAGATGGGGACTGAAAATATACAGGTGTAGGGGACCGTGACATGATATGGGTGCTCTATAGATCCCGTGAAACCTGATCCGTATGTCAGCCCGCCAATGACCCAGGCTTTTCTTGTTGATTAAAGGGAATCTGTTGTAAAAATATCGTCACTGGAGCAACGATGACGTCTTTGGCTAGTGTCCAAACAGACGTTGGGAGGCAAGATCGTAACGTTTTTGTCTACTGACGCCGTTTGTGGTGAAAGGAAATCAGGAGAACCAAGGACTAATCATCTGCTTGTAAATCAGTAGTTAGCAATCGTAGTACAGAAGAATATTATATATTGATAATTGAATTGGCCATGTATTACGAATGGATGTCACAAGTATATCCGAATAAAACAGCCTTAAACTGGAAACCTGTTGGGAAAAAAAAGAGGCAGACCCAAAACCACTCGGAGAAGAACTGTGACAGATTAAAGGGAAAAGGTCAATGGCTTTATGTCTCCCAATGGATGGAGAGGATAAGTAAGTAAGTAACCGTAGTGCAGTTGTAACGCCGTATCATATAGGAGGCGCCACTAACATTTGTGCATGTGTAGTATCTTCTAGGCTAAGAACAAACGCGTTTGAAGAATACAGCAACACTGCAGCGTAGCGAATTTAAAATTTTATTAACAGTTGGAATCTGCAGCGAGTTGAGATTTCAACAGCACTCTGAATAAAGCTTGAAAAGTTTTGATACCATAATTGGTAAGCATTAGAATAATCATAACAAGAGGCGTTCTCGGGAACTTTACACAGACAGGGTACAAGATATATACACCAGTGAGACCCAGATACACTTAGTCAATGGCAGGATACATCTCTAAAGACTTCAAAGCTATTCTTATGGGGTCTACATGGAAGTAAACTCGAGGAAAAAGATATCAATTCACTGTCCTAAACTTAAAATGACAAATAGAATTATCTCAGTTTTGGGGCCTTTCCATCCAAAAGCTAATATTTGTACAAATAAAATAATCTCAGTTTTGCGGCCTTTCCATCCAAAAGCTAATATTTGTAAAGTTTTCTACAAGTCCTTATGGAGAATACGGGGGTGGCTTTTTCATGTATTTTTCTTGGAAATGCTTTTCCAGACCAGGATTATAATCGCTCCCGCCGGCCGCCTGCGGAGGAATGGAGTTGTCCATGGCGGTGGACGGACCCTGCCTGATCCCTATGGACGGTGTGACGGCGGCAGCAGCCTTTTTTTTTTTGCGCCGCGCCAGAGAGTGACGAACTATGTTCGATCGAATACGTACGAACATAGTTCTGGTTCTAAAAAAATGGGAACTTTGGAGGCCAAATCTGATCACCTTGGAAGGAGAATACAACCTTGAAGACAGAAAGTATACGCTACATGGGATAAAACAAATATGGTACAAGTCCTTATTAAGGAGAATACGGGGGCGGCTTTTTCATGTATTTTTCTTGGAAATGCTTTTCCAGACCAGGATTGTAGTCGCTCCCGCCGGCCGCCTGTAGCTGTGGAGGGATAGGGTTGTCCATGGCTGTGGACGGACCCTGTCGGATCCCTATGGACGGTGTGACGGCGGCAGCAGCCTTCTTGGCTCCCCTCCAGAGAGTGACGAACACCGCTAACGTCACCAGCAGGATGACGACGAGCGGCAGCAGCGTGGACAGGATGATGATCTCACGTGACGTCAGGGAGGTGTCACCGTCCCCGTCTGACGTCATAGCTGGGTAATAAGACAACAATTGAAGGTAAGCTGTACTGTGGGCACATTGCAATGTCAGTGCTGTGGCTCACACATGCACACACGCGCGCGCACGCACGCACACATACGAGTACACACACGAACAAACACACACGAACACACACATGTACGCACGCACGCACGCACGACACACACACACTTACACACACACACACACACGCACGAACACACACATGTAGAGAGAAAGAGACAATAAAGGTCTTCGTTCATTAATTCATATAAAACGGCACTTACTTGGGCAGTCGGCGATGGCACAGTTGGCGGTTTCGTGACTGTTGCCGATACAGTCGTCCCCTCCGAAGTCTGGAGCCGGGTCTGTGCATGTTCTCGTCCGGAACAGCTGCCCCCCTCCGCACGTAACCGGGCAGCTGGTCCAGTTAGCCCAGGACGACCAACCTCCGTGTTCTACAGTAAAGGAAAAGATCGGCAGGGGTTACAGAACGTGAGATTTTGGAGATTGGTAATACTCCAGAAAGTCCCGTCTACGAGGAATAACATATCTCTAAGCAAATCTTTAGGGGGCTGCAAAGATAAATATATCAAATTGGCCGGGCAGTATCCATTTGCCAGGCAGTTACCATAGACCCTACTACAGTTGTGCATGCCCTCAACTTAATCTCGCGAGCCCAAATGGAACACGCGTTCGATTCAAATTACCCAGAACTATGTGTATGTTCGATCGAACACGATAGAACCTAGTTCGGGCTCTAAAAAAATAGAAAGGAACTTTGGAACTCAAATCTGACCACCTTGGAAGGAGAATACAGAAATAAAGTACTAGTAATTTACATGTGGGATAAAAGTTAAAACAAATATGGTAGGTACGAACGAGGACACGGGGGTGGTGCCGGGGAGCAGTCGGAGCGTTCCTCGCTGTCTCCACCGCACGACTCGGTGGCGTTGTCGGCAGGGTTGCCGGTGGTGGTGCAGGTACATGTGCGGGTCCGCGTCATCACTCCAGGCCCACACGTCGCACTGCAGGCTGTGTAGTCCGACCACGCCGACCATTCGAAGTCAACTATGGCTGTGGATAGGTGGATAAAACGTCAAAGGCTGCATTTAGTTTGTGAGCTGATTGGAATTTGTTGCCCGAAGGCTAATTGCAAGGGCGGTACTGCAGATTAGGCTCCGCTATACAATCGTCGCACTTAGGCCTCCGGCATGTTATCTGGCCATTTAATATTTGACCAAATTCTACTCTTCCCAGCCGCCTCTAATGTCTGTTAGAGGCTATAAAAACCCTTTTAGCAGAACAACTCCCCTGGCATGCTATCTGTCTATTTGGCCGATCTCTACTCTTTCCAGCCGTATCTAAAGCCTGGTACATGATAGCTGTCCTTCTCTCCTCCCTTGAGTTCTATGTGTTCGATCAAGGACATAATGTCCTTGGTTCTATATAATAGTTATCAAAATTGATGAAATGCTTTATTTTTTACATTCTTACAAATGTACGGGACAGCACGTACCGTTACAAACGTCCCCCGAGCACTCCAGCACGTCGTAGTCGCTGCCTGGACAGTCGTTCCCCCCGCCTGCCGGGGCCGGGTTGGTGCAGGTCCGGGTGCGGACCCTCTTCCCGGTCCCGATCCCGGACGCTACCGAGCACGTGGTGTACTCCGTCCAGCCCGACCAGCCACCGTGCACTGTTGGTAGATGTTTTGTGTTACAAAATGTGGTCTATAGTTTCGTATTGCTTCGTACAATTACAAACATACATTGGCAGGCGAAGGTACAGTGTGACTCACCTGAATTAAGTTTGTTACAATAGTGGTGTTTCGCAAAGCAGAACATTTAATTTGTATGAATCTGTGTACATATACAGATTGCAATTGTTAAAACAACGCTCAAAATACAATACAATGCAGGAAACCAAGGAATTAGGCTGTTAGAGACACATGATAACAATACATACATTCATTCATACATACAGATAATGGTAAAATAATTACAATACATACATCAAAGCACAGTTAAGGCAGCCATGTTGTAGACTACCAAATCCTGTTGGAGCCGGCATTCTAGATCCACACCGGTAGAAAATCATTCATAGCTGCCCAAACTCAGCCTATTAAAGGTCTATTTGTTTTGAGTCCCATTTGCAGTACTTAATATTTCAGACGTAGCTTCGACAATATCTTCACTGTTCTGTCCTACTTCGTATTCCTAGTTCTCCTAAGTCTTATGGAGCTACATAAATGTGGCAGCCTAGCAATGCAGTGCCCCCACCCCGACAAAGGGATCAGACAAAAACAAGTATTACACAGTTGACTTTGCACATCTATACTTTGTACAATCCCTGACATGACATACTTACCACAGCTCCCTGTACAGGGTGGACTGACCGGAATACACGCCAGACCTGGAAACATAAAAGGCAAACCATGTCAATAACAGAGTCTTCGTCCCACATGAGAAAAGATTCATAGGAGAGACGGGAGCGTTACTTGAGAAATGACCTCACGTCGGTAACATTACATCTTTGCGTGCTCTGAGATACAAATTAGACTAGGAGACTATGTAAATAGTTTCATCGGGTTTATAAATCAATTCAAAGCAGTTTTCTAGGCACGAAATCTTATTTTTCTTCTCCTATCTGCCGCCTACATCATGATAATTGAACTTTCGGAGGAAAATTGAACAAAAAGAACGCTCAATTTGCCCATATCAAGACAGCGGATAGGTCGCCAAAACGTCGACAGAGAGAGAAATTATAAGGCTCTGTAACAAAAGAAAGCCCTGTTGAGCTGTCTAAGACTACAAATGTACTTGTAGCTAGATGAAGTGGTCTGGGAGTCGAACAACAAGATACTTGTAGCGTGACAACGAAATAACCCCGACATTCTTCGCTTAGTTTGTAGACCCTATTGACCTTGAAAAAATATTCAAGATGGCGCTCGGTGTACAGAGTATCATGCTTCACTTACCGTAGACCTATAGTCACGGACTTATTCAAGTTCACTGCAACGTGAACACTAACTGTAGGTCTACAGCATATACATCGGTCATCCTAGCTACTACGATTTCAAGCAATTTACGCCTCTTTATGGCTTGAATATCAAGTATCTTTCTTTCGCTAATTGACCCATGTACATGGGACAAACGCTTACCAAGTACACGTCGTAATGTTGATGTTTGTGTGTGCATGAAGGGCCATAATTCGCCTTAAGTGGTCTGATTTCTAAACATTATAAACGATTTGTTGACACTTTACTTCTCTATCCAACGCTGAATACAAAACTTAGCTAGGTGTGTCTCAATCTACACACACAACAGACACAGTTTGCGGAAGTTGTACTATGTTCCTCTTTGGCGATACCTTCTCAAGGTTTGACAAATTCAATGGTGCCAACTGTATCTCTAAGGTACCTCCTCGGTTGTGCGATTTTACTTCTCTCTGTGTCTATATATCATAAAACAACCTTAATTCTACACTATATACAACCCATATTCATCAGAGCTTGACTGTGTTGTTAGTCAAGGCCTTGGCCTTGACCTGCTAGGGACTCCCACCTAAAGGTGTTTGAGATTGCTCATACACCTTTTAAGTATAATATCGTTACGTAACAGCGCTGATTATACCATATTCCACTTTTGTAGACTGGGACGACAACCAATTGCAAAATGCTTCAAGAAAAACAAAAAAGGCCGGCGTCTCTCCTGTTTAGGTACACTACATGTACTGCCTTTGCTTGTTGTCCTTTGAAGACCCTTTCTGTACTCACCATACTTCAGCGAACAGCAAAGTAGAACGCCAAAACAAGTGAAGACTTCTAGCAAATACATCGTCGGTGATCGTGTGCGTTAGATCATGTTGTAATGAGGCTTATACGAGCTACATGAAGAGCGCAAACTTCCCAAAATGTGGGCGATGTTCCTTCTTTTTGTGTGTTTTTGCGGGGGCAAAGATGGCGACTGCAGATATACAGGTGTAGGGGACCGTGACATGATATGGGTGCCGCCAGGTAGCTCTATAGATACAGTGAAACCTGATCTGTATGTCAGCCTGCCAATGACCCATGCTTTCTTTGTTGATTAAAGGGAACCTGTTGTAAAAGAGCGTCACTAGAGTAACAATGACGTAGTCGTCTTTGGCTAGTCTCCAAGCAGACGTTGGGAGGCAAGATCGTAACGTACGCTTTTGCTGCAAACGGAATTTCTGGTGAAAGGAAATCAGAAGAGCTCATCATTTGCTTGGAAATTAATAGTAGTTGTAGATGCAGAAGACTTAAATGGCTTGGCCATGACTATATTAAGAATGGATGGCACAAGTATACCCGAATAAAACAGCCTTAAACTGGAGACCTCTTGGGAAAAGAAAAAGAGGCAAACCCAAAACCACTTGGAAAAGAACTGTGACAGATGGAAGTCAATGGTTTTATGTCTCCCAATGGATGTAGTGGATAAGTAAGTAAGTAACCGTAGTGCAGTTCGTATAGCCGTATCGTATAGGGGGCGCCAGTGACGAAGTTGTGCATGTGTATGACTTTCTAGGCTAAGAACAAACGCATGGACGTAATTCATGACGGAATTGAGACAGGGTACTCTCAATTCCCTCTCAATTCACTATACTTTCTTTACTGTGGGATTTGTCTAGAGCTCAGTGACGCTACCCAACGTCAACGAACTATTCTTGTTCAGATATAGATAGAATGCGATTTGAATTCCAATGAAAGCTATCGCACCCAACACTCACGTCCTGTACACCGCATCATTATCTGGGTGTTGTGGCAGGTTGTGTCCACAGTTCGACTTACCAGCAATTACGGCCAGTCTAGCGTCATAGGGGAGATAATTACCGGTGTGTGACGGCACAGCAAGTTACACTGTAAGGCCACACCAAGTAATTTTTATGGATGACGTCCGCGCGCGCATTGATTTTCACCTGTTCCCAGAAAATAACAAGAAATTCTGCTTCCTGTAACTATGACTAAAGAGTCACGACAGTAGGATAAGGGAAGATGAGATGAAAGGAAAGAAACAGGACAGGAAAACAACTGCTGCTCCACTAATTTATTGTTGTTTTCATGACGAATAAAAGATTTGTTGAACACTGTGTTCTGTCATTCAATTTGTGTCCTAACATTTGTCGTCCCTTAGTATGTTTCAGGGAGGTAGTATTTTTCAAATTTAGGCATCTTGCTTTTTTCGGCCCTTCTTGTTTTTTTTTCGCGCTCTCGCATTAGATTTAGGGTCTCCAAAGGACGTCATCCATAAAATTTACTTGGTGTGGCCTAATGATGAGAGTGGGGGAGACGCAGTGTGAAGTATAATCAAGTGTAATCCTTTTGGCAGAGGTTAACCGGCCATTGACGCAACAGTTCCTAAACGTACAGCCCACGCCGTGCCTCGCATTTGGTTAAAGTTACAGCCACGCAGGTTTTCAAAATTGTACCATGTGGTAATAAGTACAAATACATATGCAATATAGGTGTGAGTTACGTGGGCAACCGAAGGAGCGAAGAAGTTAAAGTTACAGCTACAGCCATGCAGGTTTTCAAAATTGTACCATGTAGTATAATAAGTACAAATACATTGTGCAATGTAGGTGTGAGTTACGTGGGCAACCGAAGAAGTGAAGAAGAATGTAGCAATGAGAATGTAGAATGTAGCAATAATATTACAGCAGTACTCGTTTTCTCAAGCTGGGGCTTTGGTTATAACCATGTCGGTTTTCAAAATTGTACGAGACCGAGCGCCTTCGGCACATAGCATGTGGTGATAAATACACATTGTACACTATAGATTTGGGCTACGTGGACAACCATAAAAGTGAAGAAGAATGTAGCATGGAGAAAATAATATTACAGCAGTACTCGTTTTCTCAAGCTGAGGGCTTTAGTTATAGCCATGTCGGTTTTCAAAATTGTTCCTAGCGCCTTTGGCACATACCATGTGGTGATAAAGTACAAATACTTTGTGCAACATAGGTGTTACGTGGACAACCGAAGAAGCGAAGAAGAATGTAGCATGGAGAAAATAATATTACAGCAGTACTCGTTTTCTCAAGCTGGGGGCTTTAGTTATAACCATGTCAGTTTTCAAAATTGTTCCGAGCGCCTTTGGCACATACCATGTGGTGATAAAGTACAAATACATGTGCAATTTGAATATAGGTGTGAGTTACGTGGGCAACCGAAGAAGCGAAGAAGAATGTAGCATGGAGAAAATTAATAAATCACAACAGTTCTCTTTACCTCATGCCGTGGGGTTTGCTAAATATGTTAGGACATTCCAAACGCTACCGGTATCTATCTCTTTTTTATTCCAACATTTCATGGCTAGACATGGTGCCCGCAACATCAAGTTACTACTATATCAACTTATTTTATGCCGCAGATACGGAACAAGATAATGCTCATTTTCGCCTGACTTAAGTGAGGAAAGTCATGTAAAGTGCCTTTCCCAAGAGCACAAGATCGGTGGCATGTCAGGTCAGGACTCGAACCCGGGACCTCTTGGTTCCGAGTCGAACACTCTGACGCTACATTGCACGACCCCACTATCTGTACCGGTATCTGTCATTCAACGAATGAATTCTTTTGGTAGTTACTGCGCTTGGATTGTATCTCGAATTAGACATTCCGGTTTTATCTAGATATCGCTAGAGTTAATTCACTTTATGAGTGCATGTAGTTAAAGCGCAATTTTTGAAACCATGACGCGAAAGCAAAATCGTTCGTCGCCTAAATAGGGAAAAATTGCTTTCCGGGCCATTGCTTTACGGAAACATATATTGGAAATCAAATTAGTCGTAGTGATGGCAATTTCCAAAAATGTTCAGGGCGCCGTCGATACTTCATATGTGGTGATAAATGCAATCTAGGTGCGTAGGCTGCGTAGACACTAAAAAAAGGCGAACACGTGTATAGCCACACTCGCGTCTGTATGTCTGTATGTCCGTGTGTGTGTGTGTGTGTGTGTGTGTGTGTGTGTGTGTGTGTGCGTGCGAGTGCGTGTGTCTGTGTCTGTGCGCGCGCGCGCGTGCGTGCGTCTGTCATAGGGTGTGTGTGTGTGCTTCTCTCTCTCTCTCTCTCTGTATATAAGTTTGTGTATGTGTGTGTGTGTGTGTCTGCGTGTGTGCGTATGTATATGTGTGTGTGTGTGTGTGCATGTTTGCGTGTACGTGCGCGCGCGTGTGTGTGCGCGCGTGCGTGAGCGTGTCTGTGTGTGTGTATGTGTCTTTCTGTGTGTGTGCGTGCGTGTATGTGTATGTGTATGTGTATGTGTATGTGTGTGCGTGCGCGTACGCGTGTGCATGTGTGCGCACGTGTGTGCGTGCGTGTAACTCAATTCCTAGGTTGCTTTCATGAGTCTATTCGGCGAGTTGTGGCCTAAAACATCGTCTCTTTATGATCTACAGAAACCTCAGAAAAACAGTTTCAGACGTCCTCCTTAACAACGTTAAGTCGGTCTAGACTTTTCCATCAATGGTTGTCATTATCTCAGACCTCTTCAGACACACGAGGCACACAGCTTTGACGTCACCTGCCTTCGGCAACGCTAACTATCATGCCGTAATGCCAGCGTGGATCGACCTAAATGCATGTCGTCGACACTTCTAAATTGAAATCTCAAATTGAATATTCCTACAGGTTGGTGCCGTTCATCAAGAGCACATGATTTACACATAAGTATCCTAATCGCTGAGGCAACGTGTTTTGCAATATACATGTAACTTTGCTATGGATTATTGTAAAAATAGGCCCCCAGTTCATTGAACTATGTCTCGGTAAATGGTTTAACGAGTACAAAGCCTTCATTAGCGCGCCAAATTAGTCTAACTTGCGGACATGCTTCAAAGTTCAATAACCGAAGAATCATATGTGGCAGCAAACACTGTAACAATCATGCCACAGATAATTTGATCTTCTAACGCATTATAACGTATATTTCCTTGATTCGCACTCGTATGATAGGAATAAAAAAAAAGTCCAACTAGTGTATGAAGATCACCTAGGTCAGTTGCACCACCACTAGTGAGGTGTAAACATGACCCTGTGTACTCTGGGTCCAACCTTACTCGCGTTTCGGGCGCCTGCACTGACGGAATTATCCTGAGAGGTACAGACATGTACACACGCGCCAGCGAATTCGATCTTTGTCATTCTCGGAAAGATATCTGCTCCATCACACATCCACAATGAACGGATTTGTCATCAGCTTCGTACGCGTCCTGAATTGAGGTCAATGAAGATGGGATAGTTTCATACTCAGATCACTCTTCATAGCTTCGGTATACATGTGTGTCTGACGTGTTTGGGGCATTTTTATCGTTTTTTTTTTGTACTGGTATTTTTTTTTCGGGTGGCAAATGGATACTGCCCTGCAAATTTGATACCGCCTTGCCAATTTCATACTGTCTTGCGGCTACAGTTGCTTGATTGGGGATTAATAACTTCAATGAATAGGGGGCGCTTGCCTGCAGACAAGACTTAGGAGTAGACAAGACATCTATGAGCTCTTTCATCATTGACTGGAGGTTGCTGTTAGGCTTGGGCACTGGGCAACAAATTCTGAGATTTGAATTTTTGGTGCCGTGTTTCAAATCTTTCGACCAGTTGCCTTCAAAGCGATCGTTAGCTATCTAGACTTCAGAGAAGGCAGGGAAAAAAACACGTACTGGAAAAAGTAATTCAGCCGGAATGCGTGAATGATTTCAGCATACAAACAAGTCATCTCTCTCTCTCTCTCTGTCTCTCTCTCTGTCTCCGTCTCTCTCTCTCTCTCTCCGTCTCTCTATCTCTCTGTGTGTCTCTCTCTCTCTGTCTCTCTCTCTCTGTCTCTCTGTCCCTCTCTGTCCCTCTCTCTCTCTGTCTCTCTCTCACAAACACACACACTCTAGCTCTCTGAGACGACTGCTTCTCGCCCAATCGCGCGGCCGTACCGAAGCTCCGCCCCTCTGCTCCAGGTAGCCGGCAGTACATCTTGCCAGAAACCCAAATCGTCCCTCTGCTGGCGCGAGGGCGTGAGAGAGCGCAGTCTCCAGAGATCGTATCGATCGAAAAGCCCTGTTTTCCCTCACAGTTCTTCTAAAAATTTATATTCAGCCAACATGTCGTGCGACAACGGTACCGCAACAAGTCAGCCGAATGCGACCGTCCTCTCGGGCGCCCTTCGCGACTTTCTGAGTCGTGCCGATCAACCGGAGAACGGGTCTCTGTGCAGCCCGGACTACCCAGACATGATGCTTGGTACGAGGGAGGACTACCTGTCGGAGGGCGCGCTGATAGCGGTGACTGTGATCTACGCCGCGGTGTTCCTGGTCGGCGTGCTGGGCAACGTGGCCGTCGGCCTGGCGGTGTGGGGAAGACGGGAGCTGCGGAAGGTACGGACCGTACTTATCAAGTATCTGCTTCTATGGTTTGTAATGCTATGAAGGATTTTGTTTTGTTGAATCAAATTATGTACACACACACACACAAACAAACAAACAAACACAACGTGGCTGTCGATCTGGCGGTGTGGGGAAGACGGGAGCTGCGGAAGGTACGGACCGTTTTGCTAAGTACTGTAGGATTCTGCTGCTATGATTGGTAATACTATAACAAATTGACGCACGTGAAAAACACACACAAACAAACAAACAAACAAACAAACAACAAACAAACGCAACGTGGCTGGCGGTGTGGGGAAGACAGGAGCTGCGGAAGGTACGGACCGTACTTATCTATACAATGTACTTTTTAAGCGGATTCTGCTTCTATGATTTGTAATGTTATGAAGGATTTTGTTTTGTTGAATCAAAAATGTGCATATGTATACACGCACAAATACATACACAAACAAACAAACAACAAACAAACACAACGTGGCCGTCGGTCTGGCCGTGTGGGGAAGACGGGAGCTGCGGAAGGTAAGGTCCGTACTTACCTATAGTAATGTACTTTTTTAAAGCGGATTCTGCTTCTATGATTTGTAATGGTATGAAGGATTTTGTTTTGTTGAATCAAAAACAAACAAACACAACGTGGCCGTCGACCTGGCGGTGTGGGGAAGACGAGAGCTGCGGAAGGTACGGGCCATACTTTTTTTATTTTTCAAAAATAATACATGTAGTACATAATATGCTTACCAATACTTTGTCTAAGCGGCTACTGTAGGATGCTGTTTATATTATGAAGGCCGTATTGTTGACGTGGCTGTCGGCCTGGCCGTGTGGGGAAGAAGAGAGCTACGGAAGGTACGAACCGTACTTACCGATACTTTTTTGAACGGTTACTGCAGGATTCTGCTTGTATGATTTGTAATGCTTTGAAGGATGTTGTTTTGTTGAATCAAATATGTGCATATGTACACACACACACACACACACACTGACACGCACACACACACGCACGCACGCACGCACGCACACACACACACACTGACACACGCAGATACATACACACACAAACAAACAAACACATACACAAACAAACACACGCCAACGCAGTGGCCTGACGCAGTACCGATCGACTTCATTCCCAATGTAATTTGCTCTCATACTAGTACCCTGAAATCTATCACTTTACTCCCCTTCCCCCTTAGCCGACGAATTACTTCCTGGTGAACCTGAGCGTGGCTGACCTGCTGCTCCTACTGGTGTGCATGCCGACCGCCCTGCTGGAGACATGGGTCCCCATGCCCTGGCTGCTGGGGGAGGTCATGTGTGAGTAGTCTACATCTTCTCTTCATAACTGTGCCTGTATAGCTTACATAACCGCCCTTTGGCGTTGTAGTGATGTTAGTGCATGTCAGGAAGTTTGGGTCATCGGTCTTCATTGGCTGAGAACAGCCTGCAAATACAAACAATTTTACTCCCTCCTCCCAGTCAAAATGTACATTCAAGATATGTTAACAGGAGCATGTCTGCTTTTTAACAGCACTAGAAGGCCTAGGTACATTGAAGCTCGTATACTTCCGTATCTGTATCTGTATCTGTACAGCCGGTATAACCGCCCCTCGGTGTAGCACAACAGCGTCTGTCTCTTCATAGCCAGTATAACCACCCCTTGCCGTAACACACCAGCTTCTGTATCTGTATCGCCAGTATTACCGCCCCTTGCCGTATCTGTATAGCCAGTATTACCGCCATTCTGCGTAACACAACAACTTCTGTATCTGTATCTGTATAGCCGGTATAACGGCACCTCGGCACACCAGCTTCGCAAGCACGCGGCGCGGCGGCAGTTGGCTATATTACACCGAACGACTTGTTACACCTAGCCTTTGAACATCTAGACCTAAACATTGTTTAAAGCTATCTAATGACAACGCCCCTACTGTACTTGGTGGCAGCGAGTACTCTGCGATAGTTCTAGGAAAAGATTGCGTTTTTGAACACCCCAATCCTTGGTTGATAACTCCGGTACTTGTAGGCATGACTTCGTAATGTTCTCTAATGTCAGAGATGGACCTGTCTCCGACACGCCTGACATTGGGAAACGGGAAAAATATCGCAACATTCAGAACCAATCAACCCCTACAGAGAAGCAATCGACCCATTCACCGAAATTCAGAAAGGCCAATAAATAAAAGCTAACCCCTATGGCCTTTTTTAAATTAGTTGATTTCCTCTTCCGAGTTTTCACAGATATACGAGGATAATGTCAAATCTGGGCCTACAAGGGTCGGCTTGCTTATCAAAAAATGAAAAATATCTGTCAGAAATTATCTTCTCAAAGATGTGACCTACAGAATGGTAATCAAGCCAATTGATTAAAGTTTGAGAAAGAAATAAGGGTAAAAAGCTAACCCGGTGCCCTTCTGACATTGTAGATATCATGAGTGATTCTGTCAACTTTGACGAGTCTTCACGAAAGAGCCTAATGCTATACTAGACCGCAAATATGAGCAGACTAGATTCGTCTGTATTCTTCCCCCGACAGAACAATTGTTTTGCGACGTGCGCTGTCTAATCCCCGCCTTATCATATATTCTCGCCTTGCTCTTGTTGTTAGAGAAATTTGTTCACACAATCGCTACCGCATCGCCGGGTCGCGATCCGCCCGCTATATTACGTGCTCTTCGCGATCTGTAACAAATATTGCCTGACATAATGTCGACATTGTGACACGCCGTATTATCGAACGGAACATTGTGCACCCACTGCGCGAATTGTTATGAATGGGTTCGTACCTAGTAATGGTTAAACGCGAGAGTTGGCAGTTTTTCAATGACGTTCTCTAGTTCGCGCACAGATGAATGGCACAGTTTGAATCTCTTATCTTCGCAACGGTTGGCTTTGCCAGCTTTTGTGTTGTTACGCCGGCGGTTGGGCGCTGCGTGCTATGATCATTCAGTCGGCAGTACGTTAGAGTATTCGCCACATGTACGCCTAAGAATATATCAGTCTCTGTCGGCCAAAAAAAGCTGAACTCTCCAACGACAACTAGCTATGCTTCTGGATCCCTGCTGAGTCACAATAAACAAACAGTGACAGAAGACTTCTTATATATCTTTCTATTTTCTATTATCTTTATAATTAATATCACCAACTACACACCCGGCATATTACATAGTGATGGTGGATTACGAGAATCATTTCTAAACGCAGACCTGTAATTGTTTCTGTATTAAGAATAATTGAAAAACAACATCAAAGCTGTTTTCGTTCCACAGGCAATACCATATTTGAATATCAATCCTACATGTGCTTTGCATCCACCGTTTTCGCAGAATTATGTGTGGGTTGGGCTATATATATATATACCCGTATGGCACAGCCGACACTGACATTGAGATAGTGTAACCTTCTCAGAAAGCGAAAAACAAAAACTGACGACCAGAGCTAGACGTGAGCTGCATTAATTCACAACACTTCGGGTCCGATTGACTTTCTCTGGCATTATAGTTGACGGTGTAACAAGAAAACGCTAATGGCTTTTACCTTACGATTAGAGAAGATTTCCTTGCACACTTGCTAAGGCCATGTTGATTTGATTATATGGATGACATCCTCTGGGAACCCCAAAACTGATGCGCGCGTGCGAATAAAAAAAAGGTTGGCAAAAAAAAAAGTTGCTTTCACTATGAAATCTACGTGGTCATGAAGGTTCAACAAATGGCACAGAATATGTTATGGCGAATAATCTACTCTTCGAATTCATTTCGTTACATTTTTGTCTTTTTTCCTTTGATTTTGGCATTCTACGACATTGGTATCGTTTCTAAATGTTTTCCTTGCAACTTATGGTATATTTTTGCTCATTTAGCAACTGTTTTGCACGATTTACAGTATGGTTGAAAACTTTTTTTTGGAAACGGCCGAAAATTCATGCGCGCGTGGATGTCATCCATATAATCAAATCAACATGGCCTAACTGCAAAGCCGTACATATGTGCAAGCCAAAAATAACGTAAAATTAATGCAGGCTACATTATACTTTTTCCTGAGCAGATGGTACTCGGTAGCAACAGTTGTTCGAGAGAACACAATATTCAGCACCGAGGCCAGGCTCAAGAGCACAGGTGGCCCGCATGTGAGGTCAATGGCAAATCACCTTCCATTGATAGAGTGTACGGGAGGGATGGAAGGGCTTTGAAAAAAACATGTTTGATGGCTCTTAAAGATTACCCATCACGACAGTATGACAGAAAGATGAAGAAGAGCGCAGCAGAAACGCATCCAAATCAATTACATACTACATACCTAGCTTACCGATTACTGGTAAGCTAGGGGTGATGCAATACAATAATGTGCCGTAAAAAAGTTTCAAATGCATATGACGATGCTGAACTTCATTCCAACTCAATGGTACACGGATAAATTATTCAGCCACCAGTCTCACCTTCATCAGGATAAGTAACCAATAATTACTACCAACACTGGTGAACTTTTTTGACAAGTTTCAAATACAATGACGCTTTAGATTTTCTCTTCAAATTTGGCCTTATCGCAATGATGGAACTTCTTTTGCCTTTTGTCACACACACACACACACACACACACACACACACACACACACACACACAAACTGCGATAGAAAAAAGATGAAAATACTGATTGTTTGTTGACATGTCCGGTACGGCTAATTGGACGTTTGAAATTGGGCAGTTGGGAGGGAAAGAGGAAGTAAAGAGCCCAGCGGAAGCCGGGCCACACGAGTTAACATGGACGTTAATCAATCTTAGGAGACCCATTAACTGCAAAATACTGGCTTGGAGTTAGTCCCTTAGAGAGGATGTGGATTCAGTTAATCCAGAATGACTGACAGACCGGCACTCTTGGGTGTTGTACGCTTGTCATCAGGAAAAGTAAAGGCCCAAGTGACGAAGCTGCTGCTTTCCGGTATTTAAGATCAAGGTACTTTGTTTTATTCTGGCGGTTATTTTATAGCAGCGTGTGAAGATACGTCTGTTTCAAATTACCGCTAAGGCTCACATGGATTTCTCTTAATGAACCTGACATCGCTTCATGTTAGAACGTCTATCCTTCGTGACGCACAGACAAGAAGAATTCACCTTCGGAAAACATTTTTAGTTTTAGTTTTAGTCGATATTGTGTCAAGTCACCACTAATGGCTTTACCTACGATCAGACAGGATAGATACATTTCCAATTTTTTCTAAGAATCCATTTACCATCCAGACAGCCAAGCTGTTTGCAGGCCAAAAATAAAGTAAATTTACTGCAGGCTACGTTATACCTGATCCTGAACAGAAGGTAGCTCGATAGCGCAAGAACACGGAATTCAGCACCAAGGACAGGCACAGGTGGCGGATACGTCAATGGCAGGCTCCCGTTGATTGAGTGTACAGGAGGGAGAGGAAGACCTTAAACAAACTTGTTTTATGGCTTTTAAAAGATTAACCAGGCACGATAGAGGGTCGGGAAGAGCGCAGTATGCACGCATCCAAAACATGCTAAGTATGGAACACCGGTGACTGATAAAACTAGTAAAAATGCGGTCGTAAAAAAGTTTCAAAGACTTTGACGTTCTAGGTTTTCACTTCAGGTATAGTCTCATCACACTGACGAAATTCTGCTCGGTACGGTTAATTTGAAATTTAAAATTGGGCACTGAATCACTGAAAAAGATAATATTTTAATACAACCAAGTGTTTTATTCAAACGATGTTTCGATGACCGTCTGTCACCTTCATCATGGCAATTCTGACTGGTTCACATTGCACTGCAGCACAGGTGTCACTGCTAAAGATTTTTTGCCAAACGAACAATATTTACATATATACATGGTTACAGGGACTGTATCAACAATGCGCTTCACGGGTTGAAATCGGACAGTTTGTAGTAAAGGAGGAATCAAAGAACTCACCTGAAACCGCTGTCTTAGCAACGGCCAAAACAAGTAATTAGCACTTACCGACCAGTCCCAGGACGCAGTTTAGTGACCTAGCAACAAAATCATTGATAACGAAACAAGCCTGTTTGTTTCTTTGTAACGCACCAAACAAGTCATTAAGAATTAATTTCTGTCCACGCTCTTCCTTTTGACTGACCCACAACCAAGTCAAACTGTGAAAAGGCCACGTTATGTAAACACGTTTACGGATGTAAGCATGCATCATTAAAAATCTATCGGCTGAAAAAACAAACAGTCACGACGCCACATCAGTAACGGTGCCATGGACGAATAGTGGACTGCTAATTGCCTAGACCTTAGGTCTACTCTCCCAATCAGACATCATCAAAAGATGCTCTAAACTA